TTTATGCGTTTCTAGTCTTAAATTTAGTTTGTCAAACGTTTACCAATCTGATGAGTGATGACCAGAATAAAATGAAAACAATAATATACTACACAATTAGATGTTGTACAAATACCTGACATTTATGTCCACTTTTTTTTTAAATACAATTTTTCGTTCATCTGTTACATTTGGATATAAACTAATATGGAATTTATTGTGAAGTTCCTTACAGCCTACAGGTACTTATCTCGGATAATCCAGTTCTGGGTTTAGAAGTTCCTTCCAAATATTTATCTGCAGTCTTGATAGTATAAATGTATACTACATTTTAGTAAGTAAATAGAAGATGATTCATACAATTGTATAGGTATCTATTATGAATTTTGTTTTTTTCTCAAAAAATTGATTTTATTTAATTGTAAATGTGTAAGTCAAACGTTATAGCGATAATAACATTTAAATAACCGATACAGTTTCGTGAATAATCAAGAAAGTCAGCTACACTTCACTTGAAGTCTTATTAATTTGGACAATCAAATAGTAAGGTCGACTTTCGATAAATAAATAGAAGCTATAAAATAATAACATCCTAGCGAGACTATAAGACTCTAAATTAATTAATATTTTAATTTATAATTATATATTATAATATTCTAGTAATTATGCATGGACATTAAAATAAAAATTCCACCTACTATGTATACATTTAATAGGTATGTATTGCAATGCCACGGAGATGCCCACTAGTGAGTATAAAAGTATAATACGTATACGAATGTGTTATGAGCGTGTGCCAATAAATATTGTGTAGTATATTATATTGATTATAACTTATAAATATTCATAAATTAATTTATATTAAACACTAAAAAATAACGTGGGAAATATACTCCACACAAAAATATCAACACTTGTACAAGACACAGGTACTTATTATTAATTTTGTAATCAGAACAAATAACAATGGTATTTGATTTAAAATAAATCTGTATATTTTAATCTGTAAATGTTATTAATATTTATTATATAATCACTAAGTAAATAATCTACCAATATATACTGAGACACTAACTACTGATTATAGCTTCTTTAATCTTTAATCTTCATTATTATCTACTTCTTTGTTAACGTTGTATCTAATGTCATCAGTTAACAAAAAATAAACCAACTTTAAAACTTTTAGTGATAACTATTTAGTAATTTATTAGCTTCCGAGTTTTCATAACATCAATTCATTATTTAAAATCGTCTATAAACATTATATGGAACAAAAGATTGAAGTTCAATTAATTTAAAACGTATAAATAAATTGTAGATATTAAAAAAAAATTTATTTTTTTAAATAGTTTTGCAATTTCGCACCGATGCCTCCTGCACTATGTTTGTTGATTTTATAATTACTATGACTGTGATAATAAATTGTGTGTGAAGCAATTTTTACAACGGACCGTAACGTCCGTAACAATAGGAGAAAATATAATAACCCTTCAGTTTTACATAGAACAAAAAATAAAACTGGAAACATAGAAATATTTTATTCTTTTTTAAATTAAAAATTAATTATTTTTACTTATTATCTGTACTTTGTACCTGTCTTTTAAGTTTTTCTTTTGTTATCTCTATTTTCTAAAATTACTGCAGTCATTTAAATTAATAAACATTTTATTTTGTTTATAATTTTTATGAACTACTTGAACTAGGTATTCACATTTTACAATTATAATGACACTTGTTATGAAACAAATAAAATTCTCAAAAATTCTCGAAGAAAATACGAAACATAGCTTACTTACTAATTACTATAATTAATTATTTTAAAAAAATCTGTTACATAGGTAATTTATTTGCTAAAATAGTGATTGTAATACCTACAATTTAACTGAGTTACTAACATAAAAACAAAAAGTTGTACAAATAAACGAAGTGGCTGAGATGAAAACAATGCTAATATGGACAGTCCACACCTCAGTTGCAATAACACCAAGAAATTAATATCAATATGGAACTATATAGGGTTGCCATTTGTCCAGTTTTCGCTGGGACACTATACCGGTTTTCACTAAATAGTCCCGATATTTTTCAAATATGGGCCGGGGCGTATATAGATAAGTACCGGTTTCTTAAAATATTACTATATTAGTCCCGAATTGTTGTCATGATTGAATAACTAAAAATAAATACAATTTCCGAGATAGTCGAGGAACGATAAGTAGGGTTTTCTAGTGGTGTTCGATCGACTATTAATTCTCTTCAGTCCTATGGGCTATGAGTCCACTCGAACGTTCTTGTGTTCTACGTATTATGAACTTGTGATGTTCTCACATTTCAATTAAATTAATTATTGTGTTGTAATTACTAATTTTTATTTTTATGCTATTACCTATACCTATTATTATTTTAAACATTACGGCTCCAAATCCATGCAGCTTTACTGACAAACTCTAAAACGAATTATACCTTTCCAATCACTAAAAAGGTAAAAATGTACTGTATGTTTGAGTACATTTTCAGTTAGCCACAGCGGAAAAATTGATAGGTATAGCCGATATGGGTCATTTATCATATGAAATCTAATAAACATAAGACAGGGTAAATAACTACATCTTGCTATGTAAATGATTTTTTTCCTCCATTAAAAGCTAAAGACGAATTATTGAAATTAGCGGCCAAAGAAGAAACCTCAGCTAAAACAAAATTAACTGATATTTCGGTGGACATTGAAATACATTTTAGATACCTTTTACATTTTAAGATAATGAATAATTATAAATTATATTTACATTTGAGAAAATAATAATAATATTATTGTTGTATTTCTAATATTTTACTTTTTAAATCATAAGTATTATAAAAATATTAAATAACGTTTGACTAATAAAAAGAGTATTATTGAAAATTCCAGATAATGTGTGGGAGGTAGCGGAGGGGGCTGTAGTGTCCTGGCTTGTATTATTTTATAAATAGCAACCCTACATCTAACAGTATAAATATAAATAATTTACTAACAAATATCTAACACAAATATAAAAAGTAATATACTATAATATATTTATTGCCATGTCTAGAACACCGGATGGATGCTTGGATCTATAACAGGCCACCGGGCGCCCGAAGAAATGTTTGGGCGCCCTGTCACTTTTGGTTGGCTTCAATTTATGCTAATTACTAACCTAAAGAAAGAATGAGTACAGCATCATTTGAATTCAATATTACATTTTGTTGATAATAATAATAATATAAGAAATAAGCACTGTGGAGAACCGAACTCCTATACTCTTAATCAGCATGTGACATTGTACGTACATTTAAACGTATTTTAATTTATGTAGTTTAGAAACTAAATTTTAAAAATGTATATTTAAATTTATAAATACCAACATTTTTACATTTATTTTAAGCTACTTAATTTACTTAATGACTATGTTTTGAAAACTCGTATTCAAATATTTTAAGTTTGGAAAGTAAGGCAGTATTATTATAACTTATACCTAGACCTTTAGACAAATAAAAAATGATTCAAAATTAAATTATGAAAGAAAGTAGTAAAATAGTTACACTAAAAGATTTATTTAACAATTGCATTATTATAGCTGGTAAGGAATAGAATAAATTCAGTTTTGTACTTTTGATATTTGTACAGTCTATTTTTTAGGAAGTAATTATTTAAAGTATGATTTAGTTGAAAATGTTGTTAAATTAAAAGGACAATTTAACTGTGCTATATAAATATCAACCGATGAAACCAGTACTTGAATAGTATTTTATACAAGACAACGTTTTGACAGAATAAATGGATTACCAGAAGTAATATATTAAATATTAAAATATATTATAGCAATAATTCATAAGAGATTTTGTATCTTATTTTCAGTTTAAATATTAAAAATGTTGAGGTTGTTTCCACAAACATTGATGATGACATTATTTCTAATACTACTACAATTTGTGAAAAAATAACTTTGTGGAAAAGAAAAATGTTCTATAGTGAAAAGTTCCGTAAAGCATCGTTAATATGAATAAAGATTACTGACCCAGTTTCACAGTTGTTAAATATTCATTTCCACAGGAAATAGGAATTGAACCCCTAGAATCTGTTTTTAACACTTGGTTAAAAAGATAAGAATTATCAATACATTTATTAAGTAATTGACCAATGGAATTTGATGTATTATAAGTGAAACACAAATGAATTACTACATTACAGTATGGGAGCAGATAATAATACTTGACTGATGCTGACTGATGCCACTGATGCTGCCAACTGACTCAGATAAAGGATTCCTACTTGGTAGCTTGCTGTGTCTCAAATCTAGTAAAAATATGATGAGATGAACAGTAAAAACTTCAAAAAGTTGTTTAAAAGCATTTTGCCGAAACTTGAAAGAAACTCAATAATTTAAAAGTACAATGTGTCTTACCATTTTTAAAAGTTAGAAAATACTTCCACGACCACATGGAAGCAAGACATAATCTGAGTCATGCTCCATTTCTCCCCATGTCCCTGGAGCATTTGACAGTTGACTGTTTACCGTTTTATAATTTCTTGTAGACTTAATGCCTAAATGTATTATGTATAGGTTATTTCTATTAAGATGATCAAGGACATATTAGACCATAGTCCACATAGGTATTGAACTATTGACTGAAGTAAAAAAAAACTAATTTTCCATAATAAATAATCTCGCATAATCACCAAATATATTTATCACAATTTAGTTTAGGTGTTTATGAAGTTTATGTTTGCTAGCCTAAACATTTGTGTATTACATAAATAAATATATAAATCAAAATATAATTTATAACAATGGAAAATACAATAATGAAAAACCAATAGGTACTAAACAAAACAATACCCAATACCTAATAAAATAATGTTGATATCTTTTGATAACTTAATAACTTATAAGTAAACATTAAAAATATGTTTATGAACCGTTTTTAATACAATTATAATATAATAATTTAAAAATAAATTTATTGAGGTTCAGTTTTTTTTCTAATTGTAGTTAAATATTAAACAACTTTTAATTTAAATTATTCATACATTACAAATCCATCGTTTATTAAAAATAAAATAACAATAATAATTGGAACAGTATAAGAAGGAACACAGTAATAATCGAAGTGGAACACCGTGAAATAAATAAATCAACAAAAATATATCGATATGAAGTATTTACTATCCAGTAAAAAACTGATGTAGATGGGAATTAGTAGATTTTAGATATATTAAACTGATTAGAGAATAAAAGTGCGAGAGAGATGAGAATCAATTTAAAATAATTAGAAAAATGTTTGATTTTTTTCTTGAGGATGTTAAAAAAACTTCTTTAAGATACAATGAATCATGAACTACGAGTTAAAGAATATTCATGGCACAACTTTTCAATAAATGAGGGAAAATTATCATTACTCATTATCCGAATTAATGTAGACAAAATCAAGTGATAAAATATATATGTATAAATTTAATTTAATGATATTCTAAAATATAAGAGAAAACAATTTAAACAAATTAAACAAAATAAAACTTAACAAATTTATAAAATAATTTTTAGTTTAAACATAAAAATGTACGTATAAATCCCACTATAGATATTTCATTAATTGAATAACTTGTACAATATTAATTTTTCAATCATTATACTTATTATCTAATAATCAAAAAAATAATTTTAATACATCGACAATAAAAATTGTATAAGCACCCTATAAAATACATTTTCCTCTGATACAAGAATAAATTTTAGTTTTAATAATTGAAAACAAATTGGAAATAAATAAGTGTAACAAACTGGGAAATTTCAAATTACAGGATTTACCAAACAAATCCTTAACACTTATCAATTGTATTACTAATATAGTCCCACACAATTAAGTGTTATCGACTTATCGTAAATTCACATGCTTAATAATTTACACAAAGATCAGTCATCACTCAATAACATTAACAACTTTTGTTTCTAATCATAATATATTATTAGTTGTCACCTTTGCAACGCAATTTGTGATACTATACCAAAAGACAAAACTCATTGTACCAACTTGTGAGGAAGGCCATCGAACTAACCAAGATAATGGTACAAACCAATTAGTTGGAAGTTCTCTCAAAACAGTTTTATTATAGTTGTAATAAACAAATAAAAGATTTAAAATTACCTGAAACAAAAATAATAAAAATTCATTAATAATCACATAAAAATAAACATAATATATTATTATCTTAATAAATAGGTAGTAATTTAGTAAATGTATTGTACGATAATAATATAACATTATGTCAACATTTTAAGCAAAGGTAATATGAAATATGAACAGTGGTCGAAGTGGGGGGGGGGGATACGGAGGGATGACATCCCTCTACTTATTAATATGTGCTTGCAAGTGGTTCTTTTTTAAGTTATCCATTTGGGTTGGTCAAAACTGTTGCCCCGTTTATTAAGGTGGAATGAAATAGAAAAAACTTACATTTTTCAATACATTGAAAATAAAATTTACAATTTACAATTATTAATTCAAAATATATTCAATACATTTCTGGGGCTAAATGTGTTGGTATTTATATATTTTTTTAACATACAATTTTCTTAGCAAGTTGAAATAGTATCTATGTATTATTAATTATTAACTAGTCATCTATTTATAACTAACAATAACTAACACAGTATAATAAACTAACAGAATATAAAAGATTTGGTAAAATATTTTAAAACACTTAATACAATTTTAGTTATTCAAATATAAACTGATGATATACTTACGGAGAAAACATATAAAGACACTTTACAGATGAATTTGATCTTTAAATTTTTAGATGAATTTTCTATTACTGAAAAATTTATATTTAAAATATTTAATAATTCTTAAAATATTATGAAACCTATAATATTAAGTTAAAAAAAACATACTGTGGTTTTTTAATTGTTCATTCAACTTGTTGATTCTTCGTTGTAATTTTGTATGTTTAGCAAACTCTTTAACAATTAGAATTTTGGATTGTTCTTCTTTTAGCAATGATATTTCGTCTGCTATTTTTTGATGTTCATTACTGATATTCATAAACCATAATATAAACTATACAGAAAATAAAATAAAATATAGTATACAAATTATAAAATCAAAGAGTGTGGCAAAAGTACAATCTAAATTTGTATTATCTTGTGTAATAAATGCTAGTTCTAATAATAATTCATAATTTACCTTTGGAATAAATTTGATGGATAACATATTATAAAAACTAACAATAATTGACCAAACAAGCAAATTCATAACGATTTTATTAAATTCTCCGAAGTTGAAATAGATAGTATTGGGTTTTTTAATCTCTAAGCACAGGCAATACAATATTTAATTAATTATCTAAAAGTTTTAAGTTTAAGCTTTAAGCTGAAAAGTAAACATTAGAAGTTAGATCAATTACTTATAAGTTATAAGTTAAAAAACTTAAATTAATTATTAAACAAATTTATAATAAAGCGATAAGAAAGTAATATTTGATAACAATATTTACCACAAGTATTTTCATTTTTCACCACTAGATGGCAATTGACTATGAACGTTTGTCCCAAACAAATTAATAAATAGGCATTACCTAAATAACAATACTGGATACTGCCTTTTGCCTTTGCCATTACGATTTCCGGCATAAGGCTGGGGTTATGTACGGCTGATTCCACCTCGTTTTCCGATCGGTATAGGCTTATAGCCCATCCTAATTTAAAATAATGTAAAATTAGGAGTTGGCGTTTTTAATAATACTTCGGCTTTCGTTCTCAAAACGCTAACCGATCGGCGTTTTACTCCGCTGATGGAAACTAGGCGTATTGCATCCGTCGTGTATAGCTGGATTAGCTATAAAGATATAAACCAATTTTGAATTCGACGGAAAACGCCACGGAGTACCGCTTGTATAGCCCCGCCTTAGTGTTTACTGTATATAAATACATATAATTACCACGTAAATAATATTTGAATTCACTATTCAGTAAGTAGTATTGTAGTAAGTTAGTGCTCTGTTAGTAGCTCCGTTGTTTATTTTTCGGTTGACTGAATATTGATTATTAATAAAAGTAGCCTAGCTGATGTTTCGATGTTAGTGCGTACCCTTATAAATTGTTTCAAGTAACAACCTATAACAAATATTGTAACAATAGACAATATTAGTAGCTTTGCATTACAAATTACTATACAACAATATATACCCATGATAAATAATTCACAATTTAATATTACACAATTAACAAGTACCTTGTCGACTAATTAATCCTTACAGCATAAATTAATAATAAAACGGACCCATATAAAACAATATTTATGTACCTATTGATATTTTAAATATTATGGAGAACATTTTTTTTTTTACAATCTGTTATTACATACTGATACTAATGCATACTAATGCAATAGGTAATTTGGGAGGGATTATTGGCGTGAAAGAAAAGTCACCCATTGACGCACCCCGTGTGAATGTTTTTAGGGAGAGAGTAAGTCCTTACACTAGTTCTTTTTAAAGCTACAGGGTGGGTTACATGGAATTTGCTTGAATGTGATTTGAGTAAACACAAAAAAGCTCTCCAAGTTCGCTATTCTCGGTAGGTACTTACACAGTCCTTTAAGGACTAATTGATTGTTGTAGGTTAATCAAACGAACAAAAGTATAGTATATTTTTAATAAATTGGGGAAACTTTAAATAATTTTATTCATGTGAAATAACAATAATAAAAATCAAACGAATTATTATTAGGTATTGAATTACTCCGAGTGGCAATTACAAGATTAATAAATAATTATCTGTTCGATGAAACAGCCAACAATAGCTTTTTTCATAAACTAAATAACAATAGGTATTTTAAAAATTTGACAACAAAATATCGAAACACACTCAATACACACATATAGCTTCAATTCCATAATATTGACATAAACATATTTAACAAATAAAGTAACAAGTTTTTTTCAAATAAATGCATACAAAGTACTGCAAAATATTGTAATTACGAGTATTGTACTTAATTTCTTCCGTTTTTTTTTTTGTTACATTTCAATTAGATAAAATATAGTGAAAGTATTATGCCAGCATTAAAAAAAAGCGCTTCAACCGCAGAAGGCGGATTCCACATTTAGGTTTCGTAGAACACTTGTGAAGGCTGACTTGCAAGTTGCAAGACACTCAAACCTATTTCGAACATACATTTTTTTACATAAGCAAAAGCACGGGACATGCGACGGGGGATCGTATTTATTCAATTGCCGATTTTCATGCGGTCGATGTGAGATTTCTAGACACTGAAATTGGAATTTCCATAAAGTAATATTACTCTATAGGAATTTCAAACATTCTACAATTCTATAGCGGACTAGAGGGATGTCGGACCCTGATGCCATTTGGCCGATTGAGGGGAAGGACGGGGACCTTTGAGATGACTGAGCCGAGTTCTCGTTGGGCCTTTGCGACGACGGCTTGGCGGGGTGTGCTAAAGTAATGCAGCCGAAAGCGGGTCAGCCGGCGGAGCTGGAGCATGAGCTCGACGGCGCTGAATAAAGAATATGGCATGCGACGGCACTTGCAGCAAGAAGGATCAGGGTCAGCAGAGTTTGGAGATCAGCCAACGCCGGAGGACCACTGGAAGCATATTATTATGTAATTGAATTGCTGCCCACCTGTGTTCGTTCTGTGGTTATGTAAGCGGTCGGGATAAGCGGACGAGAAAGCCAAATTGCAGATCTAGGTGCGTGTGCCCGAATGTGTGTCGGAACAGTAGATGGCGACCTGATCACGGAGGAATTAACGGAAGTAACGTCGCAGTTCACAAAGAAGCGTGACAAGAAATTTTGTCAAATTTCAATGTATAATGTTAATGTATACAAAATATATTGAATATCAAAATAAGTAAGTTATAAGCTTACATTATTATGAACTAAGAATATTACAACTTATTTCAAAACCATAATAGGTATAAAAATGTCGAAGAATCGTGAAAAAAATCAAAATTGTTAATTTTGTTTCATAATTTCAGCACCCATTCGATTATAACCGGAAGTTTTCACAACCAAATAATCCAAACCTAACCAGAATTATGGAATTCATGTCTCTCTTCTTAGAACGTCCACTATCGAGCTCATTAGGTACCCTTTTACCAGTTTCACCGTCAAGTTCAAAGTTCCTCCTGCAGTCACCGTATCCGTGTCCGGCGCACGGGGCACACCTCTTGGTCAGCAACCAAGCTTTCGGGTCCAAACCGCACGGACACGGATTGCCTATACCAATAGAACGAACACGTGGACGAGGGCAGCAATTCCGGCGATTGTGGTCCTTCGGCAAGGTCTGATTTTCCTCTATAGCTGATCCTGCTCCTGCAGTGGCGGCTGCTGCTGCTGCATGCCATATTTGTCGCCGTCGAGCACCATAATATCCTCTTGGGCCGTCGAGAGGGTACTGCCGGCTGAACCGAAGTCGGCCGCACATTGTAGTGCATTGCGCCGTCGTCGCCGCCCAACGAGAACACCCCATGCAGGCTGGGCGTCCTGGTCCGCAAATCCTATGGTTGTCATTCGTGCAGTTTGTCTGAAAGGCGGAAATGGAAATTCTCCGATTTCGCATCAGCAGTTCTCCTTAAAGATTTGAACGGTTTCCTGAAATGATTGTCGGGCAAAAGCTGCTCTGTTTCAGAAGTATTAACCTGAAAAGCTTGACAAAATGTCAACGTTTGATAAAAATAAAGGAAAATTTATAGTTTAATATTGATCATATATATATTTTTTCATAACTTATAATAGTACTATTATGGTTAGTACATATTATATAACATATAACGTATATATGTCTATGAACACGTCAGCTGCAGGAGCAACTTTTATAAGTTTAAATCGGTAGTTACAAGGTTATCCTATAGAATAGAAATAAAATGTAAAAAAAGAGGGCGATCATACTTTGATTTTCATTACTTTTTATACTAACTTAAACTAAATTCACTCAAACAGAGTATATAATAATTAAAGTATAATATATATTTTAGGCTGACTGATGTTGATGTAGATTATAAATCCAGGATAATACTGAATTGTATACCTAATGTACATTCAATGAGCAGCGTTCAACTGTTCTTATGTTGTTTAATGTATGATCTGTTATGTGGTTCACTTACACCTAAATAAACATAAAGAAAACAATACCTAATCATATGTATAATAAAATCATGTACCTACTTTATTGTATAATTGGCTTTATGTATTTCTATATATTAGTGTATACCTGTAATAATAATATTTTTTTAACAAAATATATTTATAGAAATTGACACACAAATTTATTTATTTTTAACAAATTGTTTATTTTCATTCTCATTTAATAAGTTCTTCTAACGTTGACACTAATATATTGCTTGGCGTACACGTAGTAAAATTGTAATCCATTATTCAGACAATTGTGAAATCATAATTAACCAGTATCGTTAAGTCAAGACCTATCCAAGGAGGTTTTATTTTGTGAATCGATTGTTGTTTTGAATTTGAATTTTCCGTAACAATGCAGCGAGCGAGTTTAATCCCACTGGGCTAATGTATTATGTCCTTTTATAAGCTTTTGGAAATTTTCACTTACAGTTGCCCACCACTGTGTCCGCATACCTTACATGCTGGCCCAATCTGGCAATCTGCCTGCCTAGATGAGTAGATGACTAAGTTGGACGTCAATCGATTTTCACTGGCCTTGACTGACTTGCTAGACACCCAAATATGGCTCTCATATATACACTTTGGGTTTCGACATTTGTAAGAGCACAAGACTGGACCGTATCGACTATCAATCCCGTTCAATCACAGATTTCTAGATTTTCAAACGTTCCCGCCTTCGAAACGACACCTTCAAAGCCCCTTATCACAAATCCTTATCACCTTCTCCGACTTTTGAGGTTCAATCCATCTACGGACGTGACTTTTATAATTGTAACGACTCAGTCTCTATGAACCAAAATCCACTTTAAGCCTACTCGGGGGGTCTGGGGGTGTCCCCCATCGACGCTCGGAGAGCTGGTAGGCATATAAAACATTTATATGCTATGGTCAGTACGTCTATAACCATGGTTTATTATTATACCTCATAATTTTAAAGTTGATAGTGAGGTGATAAGAAGTAAGAATTATTATTTATGATAACTGATAACAGAAGTTTTTTTTCACAAATCAAAAATTTTACTATTTTAGTAATAAAGCTTCAAAAACTACCTTTACTCTGTAAAGTTAATTTACTAGAATCTACTTATCGTTTGATCTACCGTATAAAAATATCTGTGTTCAGTGTAGGGCTACTAGAATTAAAGATATTCAATGATAGAAAATAGTATTTGGTAGGATGTAGTTCTTCTATATTAGTGTACATAGTATATATTTTATTAGGTAATGCTAAATGATTTTCCTTTATTTTTCTTAACCAATTATATCGTTTGTATGAACTACTAACTCGTCATAATTTACCTCATAATGGAACAAAAATTGCATAGGAAAAGGTTAAAGTATACATCAATACTGAAGAAAGACATGAATATTGAAGCTAGCTCTAGTCCTACTATGGTAATATATTTATGAAATATTCTTGATTATTTGAAATTATAATTTATTCTGATCACCTGAGTCTTATTTTAATCACTTACAATCTTTTAATTTAGTTTATTATTTATGATGTACAACTATATACAAGACTATATATAATTTTAATTTATTTGGAATTTAGTGAATCAACTGGCTAAAAAATACTATACAAATTTCATTCAAAACTTTAGCATTACCTTACTCACACACTATCCCCAACAACTCACCTCGTCACAGACAACGCTGGTGTCATGACCTATTAATTAATTAAATTAAAATCAATTTCTTAAGTTTTCTATATATCGATGGATGACATCCCTATACATTGTTTTACCTATTGTAGTATCTTATATGATGTAATTGTGTACATATCTTCATATTTACTTACTGTGTTATTGTAAATACAAATGTAAGTTTTTGAATAAAAAAAAAATGATTTAAAATAACTGTAACTTTGTCACTCCTTGTAAAGAATCTTAAATTCTTATTGGTGTACTTACACATAGTTTTAACTGTTGAAATTAGAATGAGCATTTTTTTGCTCTTAAAACTAATAGTGACAAGAATCCTTAATTCTTAGTTAAAATTAACTAGGAATTAAATTATTATAATATTTATTGACAGTAAGTTTCAATTAGTATCTACTTATCAATCGCACATTATTGTTTCTTGCTTCAAATATTAATATAAATGTATAATACATCTCCAATCAGTAACTATTTCACCTGATTCTCCATCAATATTGAAAAAAGCACATAATTAATATTTATTTTGCTATTTGTTAGTATTATTTATAATACTGAACCTAAGATAAATTTGTGTGATAAATTTTAATAATTTAATTGATCAGTTTTTAAATTATTAAATTATAAATAAAGTATTTATAAGTTATTAAATTATTCACAAATAATTATTTTTTTTTAGAATTTAATGGTGTGCAATTATGGTTTGGTGAACGGTTTAAGTAGAAAGGATGTATTACAAGTTTTTTCACAATATGGTCAAATAGAGCGCATAATAATGTTACCTCATAAATCATATTGTTTTATTTGCTACACCAATGTACAGGATGCAATAAATGCATTAGACAAAGTGAATTGGAAAGTAAATAGTCTTCCTGAACAAAAACTGTTTTATTTGATTTATACTGTCTCAGGTAATGTTTATTAGTTTACTAAAGATAAAATGATTTTATGTTATTATATATTCCATTACAGTCCCAAAATTAATAGAAGTGTCAACTTCATATCCTCCTGGATTAGAAATCATTGACAATTTCATTACAGAAAAAGAAGAAAATTTTATGTTACAATATTTTAAAAAACATTGGTCTGAATCAAGTAATTTTTTTACTATTAGTTATTTAAATTTGATAAATTATTTTATAATTTTATTAAATTTGTAGGTGCAATGAAGCATCGTCAAGTTAAACATTATGGATATGAATTTGATTATGACAATAATGGAGTACGATATGATTCATGCGATCCAATTCCTAAAGAATTTGAATTTATTTTAAATGCTATTTATTTGCATTTAAAATGGCACCCCAATCAAATAACTGTTAATAAATATTTACCCGGACAAGGTAAAAATATTCAAAAACATAAATTACTTACTAAAAACTTGTATTAAAATTTAAAATAGGTACTTACGAGTTATAACTCTAAAAACTTAAAATTGTTTTATGGTAGTGGCTAAGTGTTGTAGGAGTTAATGAGACCTACTCGAATACAGACAAATTATTTAAATAATAAATTTGATAAAATATTTTTTTTACCAATTTGAATGTCAATAATTGAATAATACATTATTATATATATGTATTCCAATATTTATCAAAATCTTTTTTTTTGTTATACCTTTATACTTTTCTTAGAATAGACTTATTATGGGCATCACACTTTGTCACTTGCAGTTCCCGTATGGCAGGTTATTTACTATAAAAATAAATAAATTTGAGATGATGTCTCATTAACTCTAGCACAGTGTGTGTGTGATAGGGGGGGGGGGGGAGTGGAAAGTGAGGGAGGTTCAACATTGAGCTTTGAGACGCTACTCGTTGTTCATATTTTTGTTTTATTTATTTTCAATAATTGTTATTGTTATATAGTCATTGACCGCTACAAATATGTTAACGTGGTTGGTTTTTAATTTACAGACTTCTTATGTGATATGGTCTAAAATGTATGACTATAATATTGTCATTACGCTTGCTTTTTTTTCAACTTCTTTCTGACCTAAAGACTCACACTTTGCTCTGTTTTTTTTGGTTCCCTCATACAAAATAAAACAACTAAAAATTGTTTCTTAGATTTGTGTGTGTTTATCATTTAATGTGATAAAAAAGTCTTTTATATTATCATATTTTTAAATCCTTCAAGCTACAAAAATAAATGACTAAAATACACAATAAATCATAAGCTGTAGATTATCCAGTATTTTTTAATAAGTACTATAAATAAGCGTAATAAGTAAGTGTATGATACCTTTTATACTCAATGGTAACAAGTTGACAGACATTTTAGATTTTAACATTTAGCAGTTCTTTTATTGTAGTTTCATTTAACAACAACCTATTTTGGTTTATTCTTTTGTGCTTAAGCAGACAATAGTATAGACTAGCTTCAATGAAGTTAAAATGTGTTTCTTCATTTTTCAGGAATACCAAGTCACGTGGATACTCATGGAGTATTTGACGAATATATCTTGTCTCTATCATTGAATTCTGATATTATCATGGAGTTCAGAAAAGGAAACTATCATAATAGTATTTTGCTCAAGTCAAAATCTCTTTTAATTATGTCTGGTGAATCAAGGTTCGATTGGACTCATGGCATAACACCCAGAAAATTTGATATGATTAACACAGTAGATGGTCCTGATATTATTTGTCGTGGAACTAGAATTTCTGTAACATTTAGGAGAGTAGTTCAGAATCATGAAAACATTGAGGTAAATAAAATAATTAGTTAATAGTTTCTATGATCTTGACAGATTATTATGATCTTTATTATTTTTGAACAACCATTTTAATTCATTTAAACAATACCTATAGTTAACATATAATAATTTATTACAATACATATTTTATAATATGAGTCTCCTATCTAAACTAACTTGGATTATTGATTCTCTACTTATAATTTAATTGACAATTAATTGAAGTATGATTGTTTTTAGGTTCAAAGAAATTTATATGAAATTTTAGGTTGTGATAAAACCACACCTTTTGAAATATTAAAGGATAGTTATAGAAAATTACTTGTTAAGCTTCATCCAGATAAAGGTATTTTGTCATCATCAACAGCTGCTTGTGCTGAGTTGAATAAAGCTTGGAGTGTTCTTAAAGATTCTGAATTAAAAAAAACATATGATGAGCAAATTGAACAATGTGATATTGATACAGAAGTAACCATCTTTGAAACTCTCAATATTAGTGATTTAGAAAATAACGAAGAGGAACAAACATATTCCTACAGATGCCGGTGTGGAGGCATGTTTCTAGTACCAATGTCAATGGTTGTTAATGTTGATCAGATTGAACCTTTATTATTTCCTTGTGATGATTGTTCTTTATTTGTTAAGATTATGTTACAGAACACTAATGTTTCTTAATAAAAAAAAGTATAATAAATTAATTGAGATACAGGTTTTGTGTATATGTTTGTGTATTTATCTATAGATAAATGTCAGGTAATCATAGTAAGAATGTACATGTTTTTAAAGAAGAAAATTAGATTGTCTTAAAAAATAATTAAAACATTTGGAACATCGTAAGCATTTTAATTTCTTGTTGGTTTAATTCTAACAGCACACTTGTTTCAAACAAGAATTTTGTTTTGTTTTATTTGATTAAATTAAACCTGTTTCCCCTCTCCCCTCAGCTTAAAAGTTTAAATATTTGTATGAATAATAATTTTATATAAAAATATATTATAAAATTGCAAAATAAAAAAAAATATATTTATTGGTTAGTCAGCATAAGAGGTACATTCAAAGAAAAACCTCTCAATTTAACCAAACATTTTGGATTACAATTTGAAAGTGAGGTATATGTGTCAAAAAAAAAGATCAGTATAATGTTTGATACTCTATGATTATTTAGGTTTATTTGTTGTATGTTAAAGGTAGAGCTATTTGATACTTATATAATGGCCACAAAATTAAAATTTGTTTTTCAGGCCTTTATTTAATGACGTTTAGAAGATTAATTTTACAAATTTTGAATATAAACATTCAATTTCAATAAGATCAAGATAGTGTATTTTATGTTTTTTGAATCTTAATTAAAAATGTTATAATAATAGGTGCAGGAACACCAATTTGGGGTGGCAGCCTGCAGGGTGTGGTGCATACTACTTGCGTCCGAGATTATTATTAGTAGGCGAGTTGCGTCCTATCAAAAAAGGTTCAAAAAGGGTCATAGCTTATTTGCGTCCAACAGTATCTTTTCACACAACCTAGTTGCGTCCCAGTTTTTAATAACATAAATTAAATATTACAGACTATTATAAATCAGAATATTATATTGATTACATTTACATATGATTCTATTTATATAGTAACTTATATTATATTCCACTAATATAGGTACATTTGATTATGTCGCATTACATTATCACATCACGCTTAAATAGATACAATTATACAAAATGATGTAAATAAACATATTAAAAAGATTATACATAATTAAAAATATAAAAACAATAATATAGGTAGGTATATAATTAATTTTTATTAATAAAATCGTCAAAATTAACTAGGTACAAAATAAAAAGAGTTAACTAAAAAATGTAGTAAGAAAATTATTGAAATTTAAAAATCATTTATTACTTAATTAAAATAATGTCACCTGAAATTTTAGTGAAAAGATTTTTAAATATATAAAAGCGGAATTTGCTTTTTCTCGGAATTTTTTTATTTCTTTATTTAAGTAGTCAATTTTTTGGTATTTTTTTGTTCTATAGTCTCTTTTGGGTGTATGTATGCTAGTCATTAACACATAAGTATTAATTTGAAATGATTTTAAAATATTTATAAATTGATGTATATTTGGGTGGCTTGAGTAAAAAGATAGAGGAAATTGAGCATTTTCAGATATATAATTGTCTAATATGTAGTCAGTAAATTCTAAATATTCTGCCGGGATGATTGGAATGATTTCATAGGCAAATACGTTACTTTCCATTTCTGGAGGTAAAAATGGCAGTCCAAAACAAATTCTAAGAAATAAATCTATTTTTGATTTATTCTTATATTCATTGGCCAATCCAATATTTTGTATTTTTTGCCACCTACAACGTTTATTTGTTTTAAAATTAAACCGTTAATTATACCAAATATCTTTATACCGATGTTAATAATTTATACATACCACGATTGTCCCAAATGGAAACGACAACCTTTTATTTCCGCTTCTGTTCACACGGTACACACAGCTCTATCAATTGCAATTTCAAAATCAACGAACCCAGTATCAGGAGCGAAGGCAGTATTATATTTTGAGCACGATTCATAATTCATTCAAATACGTAAACGCTTTTTTCGTACGATTTACTTTCTTTGTTAGGCAGTAAAAAAATGTAATAATCATTTATCAGACCATGTATTGTAAACATTTGTAGAAAAAATTTTGGGCAATATTGAAAAGTCCCATCGACTTTTTTCACATGAAAATAATATAATATTTGTTTGCTAATCGTTTACCATTACAAAAATTTCATTTTCAGCTGTAAATATTTGGTTTTGTTGTAACATGTTGTGTACCTCTTCAGAATTTGTCGGAATTTTTGGCAAAATAGTTCTCCGAGCATTGTAGATATTTTTAAGTACTAAGTTAATATCTGAGGCAGTAGAAGTAATGCATCCGCCACTAAGCTCAGTACAAATAAGTTTTGATGGTTTTATTGACATATCTGTAAATTGTAATAGTTTTTCGCTTAAGTCCGTCGCTTAATTGTTGTCGTTTAAGGTGTGCTGGTTCATTTGAATCATGATTATGAGATGTTGGTTCAGAAATCATATTTTTTAGATCATCGAGCTTTAAAAAACTTTTGCAATTTTTATTTGTGCACTTCCACCGTTGTACTTCATTTTTCAGTAATTTATGGTAACTGAAATTATAGTTATGAATTATAAAAAATTCTTTTGTCGCCCACAATTTGGAGCTAAACATTTTTTCCATTTTTAATCGAACACTTAACGAACACTGTATAACATATACTGAGAAAAGTATAACACCGTGCAAAATACTCTGTTATACTGATCAATCGTTATTTATAATATATTTATCAAATCAGATATCAGGTGTTGGTTTTTCAAAGCATTCAGTGTTATAAATATGGCTCGGAAATTGTTTGGTAACAACCGGACATCGCCACGGTGTGTATTCAATTTTATCACACTTATACTAACACGGTTTAGTATTATCTCTTTTATAAAGTGTGCAAATGTTGAAAATATTATTATGTTATTTATCTTGGACGCAACTCGGTTCCGACTATTATAGCAGGTAGGAAGAATAATATAGTCGAGTTGCGTCCACAAAACGGGACGCAAGTTACCTGTTGAATTTACTACCTAAAAAATATACCTCTTTGGGGACGCATTGACGCAAGTAGTATGCAGCCGTAGGGTGTACTTTGCTACCCTAATTTTTTCCTGTGTCTCATGGCCTGCCATAAAATTTACAAACATTCAATGCAAAAAAGTTAAAATATATATTATGAAAATGTACAATATAACTTGTGCCTATACTGACCCATGAAGGTAAAGTACCTGTATAATTGGTACCTGATATGTGTATGACAAATGGTATATCCAACTTCCAATTTTTTAAATTAATACATGCGTGATACGCCATCCACATTCCACACATAAAAAGTGACCGTAGATAGGTACATGATATTTTCACTGAATGTTTGTGTTAGCATTTCATATACACCATAAAATTATTGTTGACTAATGTTGAACTATTTATAGGCTTATGTAATTTTCAATTATTATTTGTTTTTTTAAACTTATGTCGATAAAAAATGTCCACTCTGTAAAAAACCTGTGCCTAAATGTAATACAAGGTTCCTCATAAGTTGTTGTTAGTAGAAATTAAACATAAATTTGAGCGTAAATCCACAATAGATTTTTATGAGTGCTTGAATTTAAAATGTTGTCAAAATTTGTAAAAATCACGGAAATTAGCAAATTATTTTGAGTTAAAAATGTATAAATTTTTCTTTTTATATCTAAGATATAAAAAATAATAAATAAGTCATAAATCATAATATATTTATTGATATCCATAGCTATTCACACAAGCTGCATTCAAATTATTTTGAAAAAAAAAAATATATTATTTTACATTGAAGACGAAAGACTATGAAAATGGTAAAATTGCCAATTGTTTTATTTTATTATTTTTTTACCCAGTGGTTGGGAATTATAATAGTAAAAAAATTACTGGCCGAAAGGGAACTGTAAGTTTTGACCGAAAAGTGACACAGGTTGAAAAGGGAAGAGTACCTAAATTTTGACCGAAAACAGTGACGCTCCACTCAACAACTTATAAGCCTTCGTATCTTATTATAAGTTCCAGTATTCGAAAAACAAAAATTACCTTCGTTTTACCATCTACCACTACCTACCTATTAAATATCTCTAAATAACTCTGATTTAGTATATTTTAGCGCTGACTGTATATTATAATCTGTCTCTGTAAACAATATATATCAATGTTATCACAATAGATTAACATAAAAAAATTGTACAGTTGTAATATTAATCTGAGGTATTATTGTTGGCATCATATAGTATGTTATTCACATGTATTTGGCCTTATATATAAGATGAATAACTATGTAGCACTTATACGACACCTACGTCGATACTCAATATATTACTAGAAAGTCTCGCATTTGATAAAACGTAAATTACTATTTTATTTTTATAAAAATACAATAATATGATCCAACTTCTATTTATTACACTTAATTAATAATTTTTAAATACATTGTCATTCTGATGGAAATAATCAAACCAGTTGGATTATAAAATTATAAATAAATGTTTAAAGTAGGTGGGTATATAACTACCTATACGTACTATACCTATTAACCTAAACATAATTTTTTATGTTATTCATAAATATATATATATTATATGAAAACCAAAAAGGAATAAGGTTTTTATTTAAAAAACATTAAAAGAATTTAGCTACTTTGAAAACCTCGACGAATGGATAAGTAAAAGTAAATCTTCTAAGAAATCAAGTATAACGGTTTGTATCAAATATCCAATCGACAGAATGTGAGTACCTATACGTTTATTTTGTATAGACATTTAAGTTCAAAGTATAAAGTAGGTATAAAGTAGATACATTAAAAAACTGAAGCACAAAATATATTGTTAAAATTAAAATTTAAAATGATTATTTACACCGAGTAGGCTAAGACAATATATCAATTTTTATTAACTCTTTATTTCGGAATTTTCATTGTCAGTTATAATCGTGCAGTATGTAATATGATTTTTATTTTATGTACCTAACCTTTGCTTACATCCTTCTCAAACGCAATATCATTACGATAATCTATTACCTACGTTGTAGTACTTTAACTTTAAATTCAACACGAACCTATTTCTCGTACCATATAACAAATCAAATTATTCCATAAATGGAACACGAGTGTGTTTTAGGCAATCTATTACCATACGTGCGTATCAAAAATGAAGTTAGACATGCGAACATTCTGTGATTCTCAGTCAATTCCAAATTGCCAGTGTCGGAATAATATCAACAGTTGACCCAGTTTATATGTGTTGCCTTTTATTTCGGACGATTTAAATGTCGGATTCGTATACATATAAAACGTATATTTTAAAAATGTGGTTATTTTATCGTTAGGGAATTTGTTGAGTATAAAAGTGTTGTAAGTATAATTTTTTGTTTGCAATTTTCAAAAGTTTTTTTCTTTTAAAATCTTTAAATAATTATAAATGTAAAGTGCTTCAATTACAATATCAAATATGGCTGATGTGAACAGAATACTGAAACTTGATAGAGTGTACACGAATTTGGATTATTTGAAAATAACGTTACCGAGTGATCCAGATTGGCAGTTGAGTACTTATAAAAAATTGGTAGAAAAGCAAAGAGACATGAGCAAACAAGAAAATATGTAAGTTAAATTTATTCTGAACATAGTTAAGTAGCCGTTTTAATGTTGATGTGCCATAATATGATGTATTATTGGTGTTATTTTAAATTTTATATACGTAATATATACGTAGACAAATAGTTATTGTTCATGATCGAAATAGAACCTATATTTATTTTATATATTTGAGTGAGTATTTAAATTTAAATATAATTGTGTAAAAATCCATAATCTGTTTTGATTGAATATTTAATCATCTGTACCTATACTTATAAATTATAATATATTTCTTTATAGCTGTTAAACGGAACCTTATCCAAATGATAGATTAGGTAGTATTTAATATATAATCGTCAAAATTAAAAATATAGATACATTTATTGGAAGAAAAACATAAATAAGAGATAATTGTTTTTAATGTTAACTGAATATCTTGTGAAGAGTAATTATAATAATACACAGAAAATAAACTTAGAAGTAATTAATTATTTAGAATTTAATAACTATTTATGAGACAGATAAATAAGTATTTTTAATTATAATTTACTTGTATGGATGTTTTTGAATAGCTGTTTATTATATTTGTATATACAGATTATGCTCTTAGAATTTCTTCGTATATGTCATTCTTGGTAACAAATAAGTCAGTGATCTGTCGTTGGTGGTTTTTTATAGTTGATATGTTTGACAAGCTTTTTTTTAAATACATCTTTTAAATAATTCAAATACTGTAGAATACTTGATGGTGCAGGTACATTCACTTTCGTGTAGTATTTGTTGGGCAAAAAAATTGTCAAATTAGGAAATTATAATAATTTCATATTTGAATATATTTTATCAATGTCTATAATTTGCTATTAACACTATGTGTAATACTTACATATAATTATTAGGACAGATGATCCAGTTTCAATGGCTTCGTCCTTAAAAGTTGGGTATTTATTTGAAACTGCATTTCATAAATCGCCAAAAGAAACCGACGAGTTATTAGATGAGGATTATATATTGGAATTCGAAAAAGAAATAGTCGTCGAGGAGTTCGACCGAAATACTGAGCTCTGGACAAATCGCGAGGTGGTACTTGCGGCTAAAGTTCTTAGTGCAAAAAATCCTAAGAAACGTGGTATAAAATTTGCTTCTGACAACCAGATGAGGAGGGTGTATGACATAATATTTGAAGTATTTAGATGTAAGGTTACAAGTATATACCTACATTTTTGGTCTATGATTTCTATTAAATACCGATGTGATTATTTGATATTTTTATCATATGCAATTAATAAATTATATATATTTTTAAATACACGAACAAAAAATTTTAAAATTATAATTAAACATTACTAGGCAGCAGGCTTGTTATTACTTAATTTCTTACCTGCAGGGACTTCATTGGTCTACAAAAGCTTGAGTGGGGAGGATGAATGCCACTTTCACAATAAAATAATTAAAAAAATTTGGTTGTCGTATGATGAAATTGCAACGATATGTGCATTTACATTATAATATCAACGTTTTTATTTATTAAAATTAAATAATAAATACATTTATGAACGTACAACTAACTACTTAGTCATTATAATCAGGGATGTAAATTTAATGCATTAGTGTGTTTTATTTATCAATTTTTGGAAAAAATGAAGACCTGTCAACATTTATTTTACAGTAGTTCTTTTGTAGTTTTGTGTACACCTATAATATTATTTTCCAGTATATTTTGACATAGGTAATTGAAGTTTTAAGCATATCATTGCTAATAGTTATACGGTTTTAAAAATAAGATAATAATTTTTACCTATTGCGATTTAAGATATAGTGAAGGATGACTAATGAATGATGTGATATCCCTTCATTTAATCAAATAATTAACCAATACAAAATTTATTCATTTAATACTGTATAATGTAGCAATTCTAGAAGTTTTGTGGTTGTAAAATTAGTGAAAATATATCAGGTTAGTCTTATTTATAATATAATTAGCTTTATGTGTATACCTATACAATATAAATGACCAAATATTAATTACATTAAACTCACACAGTAGAATAAATTTAAATTTGAAAGTTAAAGTAATATTTGAAAATTTAAAAATATATATCTAAATATCTAAATATGTTCTAATATTCAAAAAAAGAGTTTTTTTATTTAGAATTTAAAAACGTGATAATCTATATTTTTGTCTGCACAACAAAATAAAGAAATAACCCCTTGCTCTTTAAACGTAGATTTTAGTTTTTTAAAATTGTAAGAATTTTAAAATCTCTTTAATCCTTAAGTATGGTATACAATTTTTATTCTTATTTTTAGATAGAACGATTATCAACGACATTTTAAATAATATCGACTTTGAAAACATCTACCCAAATGTAAGATTGTTTGTATTTATTTATAACTTCAACACACTTATTAATATATTTTAATTTTCATAAGTACTCCAAGATGACACTTCTTGTATGGCTGATGTCTTTTGATTATTACCGGAATAAATTTAAACCAAGAAAATTAGATGAAAAGGAGGTATCGAGTTTCAATACATTGCAATTGATTGAAATAGCTGACATTCTAAAAGAGATAAAAATTCAATTAGCCGCATCTTTTTCGAAATTTCGAATAAAACATTGTGCTTTATCACTGTCTGATATGTTGCCAAGACACTTACGTAATGAACGATTCAAAAAATCTTCGGAAACTGTTATTAGTTGTTGGATAAACACATTCTTGACCAGGTGACTACAATAATTTAAAAAAAGCGGGTAAGTGAATGTCGCTCTGCTGTACATAATATAAGGAGTCTAGAAGGTCGCAGAAATGGCTGGTATTAAATTTAAATGCAATGATATGATATCATTGTATACGAAAAATGATTCTGAGCGGAGACGGTATGTCAGTCTAGGATATTTAATATTGCTATTACTTATTACTAATATGGTAGCCAGTAAGTTGAATTAATGTTATTCTTAAATTATAACTGATGCAAAACTGATGTAAAATTGGGCTGTTTTGGAACCGAATTACAACAAAATGACAAAGTTATTGTTTGTGTTTATATGTAATCTTGTGTAAACTTGAACTTAAAATGTCTGTAAAATATAACTGTATTAATAATTTTTTTAAATTTTTTAGTTACGGAAAAAATTTTCAAGTGGAACTTTGTTTTAAATTTTCAATCCTTAGCTATAAAAAACAAAAATTTTATGCAATTTTAACTATAAAATCATTTTCAATTTTTAATTTGTTAAATATTGTCAACATTTGAACTTAAATATGTAAAAAGATTTTGAAAATATTATCAATTATATATGCATTGATGAAATAAATATATGGTAAACATTTCAAGTGTCTAGTGTCTACAGTAATTCGTTTTTGAATTACTACAAAATAAAAAAATCGCTATATGAGAAATCGAGTGAATATCCAATGTTGTAAAAATTTTTGATAAAGATAGACAAACTTATAATGAATCTTGTGTTAAATTTTTAAATCCTAGATATAAAAAGAAATTTTTGAATCCCTAACTCAAAATAATTTGCTGATATTCGTGATTTTTACGAATTTTGTCAAAATTCTTAATTTAAAAGCTCATAAAAAAACTATTGTGGATTTACTCTCAACTTTTTTATTTAATTTCCACTAACAACTTACGAGGAATCTTGTATTACATTTACAATATTTTTAGCAGAGCAAAAAATTTTTTATTGACATTAGTTTAAAAAAAACAAATAATAATCGAAAATTGTATATACCTATAAATAATTCAACAGGATTCAAAATATTTTATGGTGTATAGAAAATGCTAACACTAAAATTCAGTGAAAATTTCATGTATCTACAGTCATTTGTTTTGGAGTTACACTAAAAACCTGCAAATTTGATTTTTTCAAAAACTTATGTTGCATAAAAATACCTGTTTTTCCTTAATTTTCTGTTTGTTTTCCCTGTCGCTTTTGAAAACTATTCGGTATTTTAGATTTTGACCTCCCGAATGCATAAACTAGATTCACTTTCCAAACAGAAAAGTTGCTTTTGAAGAAAATCGAAGCACTTTTGTTGCCCCAAACCGTGATAAAACTATAAAAGACACAATAAATAAAAAAACCCACATCATTGTAAAATCAATACATTCATCGCTCCACTCAGAATATAAAAACATGTTATGTTAAATTTTAAAATCACATATTTTTTCGTTAACGCTTATTTATTTTTATTTAAAGCACAGAGGACGTATTAACTGTATTAAGCAAATCAGGACTAACTCAAATGAAGAATTCGGAAGATTTAATTCCCGAAACATTTAAAATGGATCATTTATTGCCTTATTTTATACACATTTACCCGAAAGAAAAATCGGAGTTTTTAAAAAAAATACCATTGTTCCAGAAACATTTATTGATTTTACAGGTATTTATATTACACAAAACTGAAAAATACAAATTAATAATAATTTATTCCAAGAAACGCGGCGTAAAATATCGTTAGGTGTAGATATCTTAAAATTATTTTGTTTTATTTGCCTTACTTATAGAATAACATAATACTATTAATAATAATAAACAACTTTATATATTTTGTATATCTATTCCTGCACTTTCATGTTTATGAACAAATGATTAATATAGGTTCTTTAGATTCAGTAGTTCTAAATTGTTATTTGTTGGGTATACTATTTAGTTGTATTTTGACTGATATAATATAAATTTGATGTAGGTACCATCTAGATCTAGAAATAGTTCAATACAAATATAATACAATTATTTACGCATAATGTATGTATTTATTATTTTGTTTATAGTTTGTATAGTTAAAAGTCGTTAGTTGAGTATAGTCTATAGACATATTTAGAAAATACAATGTATTATGCTAATAAAATTAAAATTAAGATATTACTCAAAAAATAAATGTGTTTGTCAGGTGTAAAGTGTTATGTTATAACTGTATTTAAATTCACAATTAATTTGTTGAATCATTTTGAATTTAATTAGGTACATGGTATTTTTAAAATGATTAAAGGTTAATAATTAATGTAATATGCTTATATAATTACACACTAACGTGCTAATACAGTAGATAGGTACTAAAGTTATACCTTTTACATTTTATACTCTCAAGGAAGAACTATCTTTAAATAAAATGTTTTAAAATATTGATGGTTATTTTTTATTATTTTAAAATGTTTTTTTTTTTATTAGCTTTCAGCTTAAAATTGTTATAGTTCGATAGTTATTGATAGTTATATTTACCTATAATATAATGTGGGTATAGGTACTGCAATAACATGACTTTATTATTTTAATTTATTCGAAGACATTTATTTTTCAATCAACAGTCATTTTGATTTATTTATTAATATCATTAAGTTTTTAGTATTCATAGACCATAATATTGTAATTTGTAGTAGGTATTCAATTTGGGAAAAAATTATGTATATTATTTAAATATTGATTATAGTTTTTTTAAACGTCGCTCCATAATTTTTAATGTGATATTCAGGTACCTATCGGCTATTCGTATTCCAAAGATGTTGATGTTTAAAAATAATAAATAACATGACGTATTGAACTATTAATTAGTTATGTTTGACAATTTAGATAAGCCGAGTAGTGAGAAAAAATTAGACAAATTCACGCTATATACGCACAATTTTATTTATTATTTACCGATCTACTATCTTATCTATACGTTTAAAATGTTTATAAATTATAATATATAAACAATAGACTAGGTATTGATTTCAAGTTCTTTCAACATATTCATGGTAAATATTCTACTTCAGAACATGTAATTAAAAAAGATAGTGGGATGAAAATCATTTTATAAATAAGAACTGTTGCCTCTTCCACAATCCTACTAGGCTTCTGGAGACAATAATTTTTACATGTATTTATATAATGTATTCTTTAATAAATAATATTATTATTATTATTTAAAACAAAGAAAATCCTACTAAAATATTTCGGAGATAAATACTAACAAGTATTTTGAAAAAAATATGTGGTATCATTACAAAAATTAACTGTGAAAATAAGAATTTTAAGTTTAAAAGGCACCCAGTTTAATATTAAACAGTAATATGTAACCGCTTATTTAACCTTAATAATAAGTAATAACTAATGATTTGGCCATTAACCTTTTTTATATCAGTAATCACTCATCACTAATCAGCAGACAGTAGTGTACTTTGTTTAAAAAAAAAAAAATATAATAATCTTACTATTACCAGAATAGTAATTTTCTACTCGAATAATGCATAATTACAGAATACTCTTGTTCGAGGAATAAAAAATAATAGCTCTCAGCAAAAAATGTATAGATAGCAAATTTTAAGTAATTATATCACGTTATGATAAAAACAACCACTTAAACAATTATGATTATACGGATTACATACACCAACACTTGTAATTTGTGGGGTACTCGAACTGTTTTGAGGATCTCAATCAGTGAAGAAAAAATGACGTAGGTATGTAAAAAGTTTTTACTTTGAATTGCAATACAAATATAGGTTATTTACTTAAATGTATAAATATCATGAACCTATATTCAATAATTAAAAAAATAAATAAATCGATTGATATTGATGTACATCGTATTATTTACAATCATTATAATTAAAGTGTCCAATGTCCATATATATTACATCATTTTTCTTTTATTATTTAAAAAATATACACGTGTAAAATAATAGCGACTTTAATAAACAATAATATATACCTACCTAGTATTAAAAAAAAAAAATTATATACAAATTATGTTGACTTTTTGAAAATTAGAATACTCTGTTGGCACCAAAATCGATAGTGCTTCAATAAAAAATCCCTCTTATCCATTGAGTTTTAGTGCGACAAATAAACGATATTTCTAACAAACGGCGACCGCTGCAGTATTTTCGGGCAGATGTTCCCGCCGAGGCCTTAGCAAAAAAATAGAAACTCAAAGTGAGTTCTTCTCTTTCGGCAGATCGTCCCGCCATGACTATTATATTATATTGTGCTATGTAGGTATGCATAACGTTCTACACATTCGACTCGAGTGAAAATTGTGCGGGTGATCGAATCGTATACTCGTACAAACCGACTGGTCACCACTCACCCACATCCACCTCCACTACCCTTCATCACCGGCAGTGGTCGAACAACTCGATCGTGTGCGGACGTTTAGACCAAATCGTCCGTCTTCCGGAGCTGAGCCTGTATGGCGGCAAACGTCTTGCCCTTGGTCTCGGGAAGCCACAAGAAGCAGCTGACTATGGACGTGAGGCTGAACAGCGACGATATCAGATAGTTGCGGTACATGCCGCCGTCGTCGGCCAGCACGGGGTAAATCTTGAGGGCCAGGAACGACGCGACGGTCAGCGTGATAGTGTTGACCGCGTTGGCTATGGACCGGGTGTTGGACGGGAACAGCTCGCAGTTGATGGTGGACAGCAGCGATCCTAGGCCGAGCGTGTGCGCGACGGACAGCCCGCCTACGGCCAACACGCACAGCCACCCGTAATCGGTGACGTCGTACGTGGTGCACCTGTCCACGTAAAAGTACGCGAATATGGCCGTGTCGAACGCGAAACACGAAGCGCACGACACGATCATTAGCGGCCGGCGTCCCACCCGGTCGGCGAGCACGGTGGACGGCAGCGCCGAAAACAGCACCGAGCACGCGAACACCAGCGACAGCTTGTTGGCGTCGACGGCCACGTGCATCTCGGCGAACGTGATGGACGCGTACGATATGAGAGCAGTGACGCCTGCCATCACCCGGAACACGGACAGGCCCTGCACGATGATGAGTGCCTTGAGGCTCACCCAGTCGGTGAACAGTTCGGTGAAGGATGCGTTACGCATTTCCTTGCATATACACTCGACCACGGCGTCCATCTCGTCATCCACTGTACTGCCCTTATCGTCGCCGCGCAGCCAGACTAACGCCCGTTTGGCGTCCGCCAGCCGGTTCTTCATCACGTAAAAGTGCGGGGACTCGGGTATGGCAGCGAACAGTGCGCAGAACACCACGGGGCCCGCCATCGCGGCGTAAGTGAGCCGCCTGTAGTCCAGGTACATGCCGGCCGCGTACACGTACAGTATGCCCACGTACATCATTATCTGGAACATCGTCCCCAGGGCGCCCCTGATCTTTGGACCGGCGATCTCGCCAGCGTACACCGGCAGCACCGTGTACGCACCGGCCGCGAGTAAGCCCTGCGCGAATCGCACGGCCAACAGCCCCTGAAATGTGTCGACGTATAGCAGGGCCATCCACATGATCAGCGCCATTGGCCCGATGATCTGCAGACTGGGCTTGCGGCCCCACCGGTCGGCCAGCACGCCGAACGGCAACGACCCCAAAATCAGGCCCCAATCTATGACTGACACGAACCAAGAGCTCTCGTCCACCGTCATCGGGATCGGGCTGTCTGGTCCCAGTAGTTCCTCCATGATTGGTGACGTCCAGCCGAGTATGATGCCCACGTTCATTATGGACAGTGACCCTGTAGCACACGCGATAAAATATTGTTATTTATAATAATCATTATGATATTATATAATATTATGCTCGACGACATAATGTGCTGGTGATCCATTTAACACACACAATATTTAAAAAACTACTAACGTTGTTGATGCCCAAGGGTACTACTTTATGGCATCCCTATTCCATCATCACCTTCAGTAAAATACCTTGGTCTAACCCTCGATCAACGCTTAACCTGGGCTCTACACATTCGTGAAAAAAGACTATCCCTAAATAACAGGCTACGTATGCTTAAGAATTTAATTGGTAACAAAGCCACCCCTATTAATATCAAACTTATCTTGTATAAAACCTTATTAAAACCCATTTGGACATACGGATTGCAGCTATGGGGAAATGCTAAAAAGTCAAACCTGAATAAGATTCAAGCTTTCCAAAATATGGCCTTAAGGAAAGTATTTAACGCACCTCCATATATATCAAACCATACCCTACATTTAGATTGCAACTTAAATACTATTCACGAAGAAGCTAAACGTTTTTATAAAAAATTTCATAATCGTCTATCCTCTCATTAAAAAACACTCATTAAAAACTTATCTTCCCTCACTATCCCAGGTAGCCCTCCAAGGCGACTTAAACGGAAATGGTGCAGAGATTTTTTATTTAACTAATAATAATAAGATATAACTAAATATATTATATTTATTATATAATATAAATACTAACATATAACTAAATCGCATATGATTAAACCTAGACGAAAGTGTCATCAGTGGGTGGCTTCTTTCCTCAAATTTATGTATATCACCCTATTCTTTGTTTCCCTTATCGCACATATACTTATTATGTCTAAGATATAGATTGTATATTTTCTTCTAAAAATAAAAAAAAAAAAAAAAACGTTGTTGACAACATTTTTTTAGTTAGAGTGATGATTTCATTTGGCATACCCTATATTGATTTATTATTTATAGTTTGGGAATAAAGGGATAAAGAATTCGAATTTTGGGTTAGCCTTGTTAAAGTTTTTTTCGTTGATATGAATTTTCCAGGTAAGTTTTTCGTTAATCAAGCCATAAAGACACCTCAGTGCATTTAGTGAATAATTAGATTAATAATTTATAAATGATTTTTAATACTTGTTTATGATCAATACTTATCTAAGTAGTATGTATTATGTATGTAATAAGTGCTTTTTAAATATTTGCTTTAAATAATAAAGATTACAAAAACATTATGTAGATGGCCAGCCATATAGGTACTAACAGTATTATATAAAATGAAATGACTAGATTTAATTTAAAATATTAAGCAAAATGTGTTTATTGATGCGGTAAGCGTAATATAGGTACTTATCAAGAAAAGTTTTAGTTATTTCATGTTTTATGTATTTAGTACTTTTCTAAATGACATGAATAATTAATTGATCAATCATAAATTATTAAATGTACAAGATGTTTTAAAATTGTAATCGAATCTCATGTTTTTGTTGAATGTTATACAATGTACATTATATTTATTTATAAACATAGGTTAACTATAGAAATTGCCAATTTTATTTATTTAGTCAATAAGTACTTTACTAGACTTTAGACTTTTTATATAAAGTTTATGTCATCATTATTCTCTTATCTTGAGGTTATAGCAATAAATTACAATATAGTTTTACCTACTCCTAATACATGTATACATTTGTTATTTTTATCACTCTGTCTAGGACTTCTTGAGATTAAAAAAAAAGGTATAAATATAAGACCAAAAAATGCGTCTAATTTTGAAGTATTAACATTTCTCAGTTGCTATAAACCTACTACCTATTACGTATTTATTATATATACATAATTCGATGTTGCGTCAAGATATATAATATTGCGCTATTATAATAAACTGATAATAGGTAACTGATAAAATAGTCGTAGAGTCGATCTGTCCACCCATGTTCGATTAACGATTAATATTAACCTGTGTATAGAAACTAAATAAAAAGCCACACCGAGTAATGAATAACGATTAATATTGTAAGAGATTTATTTACAACAGATTTATTAACAAAGCCACCAGTCCTATGATTAAGTACCTACACAGATAAATAATATGCATTGTTCATTTTAAACAGTGCCGCGCATTGGGACATGGGTAGGCACTCATAAGTAAATAAGATATAATTATATATGATAATAATAAATTAACTTAATAAACCATTCTATAATACTTTATTATCAACTATCAAGAATTAAGGTATGTTTGATTTAATTGATTAAAATATATACTCATATATCTCTATACCAGATATCGAATTGACAAAATAATAATAGGTTTTAAAGTGGTACCTGAACTTGTATCTTACAAAAAAAAGGTTCTTATCATATATATATATATATATGTTTAACTTGTTAAATCACACTTTATTATTTTAACGCATAAAATAATTTTAACCAATTTAAGAAAATGTAACATCTTTTGAATTTTAGTAGTTAATTTTTTCTTGATTAAATTCTTAACTAACAATAACTACACTTAATTAATTGTTTGATATTATGTTATATTAATTTCAAAATAACTTCGATATCATACTTAGAAGAATTACTTAATACAAAGGTGCCTCTTTTCCAAATTATTATCGGTGATCTATAATTTATTATATTTAATTGTAAGTTTGTAACCAGTAATTTGTCCTTATTTTTCGACTACATTATCGCCAACTGATAATAAATAATAAGTTTATATTTATTTGTTTAATTTAGTCAATGTTCAATACGAAATTTAAAAAAATAAAAACATATTGATACTAAAATTTTTGAATATCGTCCTCATTCTATGCAAAAAATGGCTGTGCACTTAAATATTTTTAACAATCTGAAGAGGTGAATCCTCTGTTGCCATCCACAAATTTGACAATAGTTTATTTGGAATTCAAAACATATTAAACCTAAAGACTTGACATATCTTGAGCTATATATAAATGTTTCATTAAGCAAGGAAAAAAATTTCACATCACTGTGAATACAATAACTACATGATGTGAACCTATACATAGCTACATCACTCAACTGATTCTAAAATAAATATTTAAGTCGATTCTAAGTAGATATTTATGCCAAAGACGTTGTTAAAAAAATGGTACATTCCTTTTTTACGGCTGTAATGGTTTAAATAATTAAAAATACATCATTAAAATCGACCTGAGTAAAATGTTGTCGTCTATCTAAATTACACTGGATTTATACAATCCAATGAGTCCGAAAGGGGCAGCCTGATAAATAACGATTTACAGTAGAATTATATAAACGTTTAATATTATTCCCGATGATGCAATTTGATTTTTCTTACCTGCAGTTGCAGCCAAAAATTGTCTCAAGACTCCTTTGTTTATCATTTCGTTTTTTGAGATTAAAACCGATTGCAAATGAAAAATAACTTGGTGAGCAATAAAAAAATGTTAACAGATAGATAATCGTCCAAGTCCGTTGAATATAATTATTATTGCGACCGTTATGGTCTTCTGGTAAGAACGTTGTCCAGTTTTAACTATTTTTTTATTGTTTTAAACATTATTGTCGCACGAATATGTGGATGTATTCAAGAAGTATAAGACAGATCGACGGCTTGGACGAATGTAGAATACCGAGTGGCAACCATAGGTCAGGCTCAGACACTTATCGGGACGGACTTCTTATCAGTTATCTTTGAACTTGCGAAAACCGACGAGTACTGACGACTATACAACATGAAACATTAAATCTGAACGATAAAATAATCCCTTTACTGACAAGTGTCACGTGTTACGTTATATACTGTGACAATTACACCTACAGCACCGAATGCGTTTAAAGTTAATACATTATGTACATTGTACATCAATTTACATAAAAAATAAAAAATTTAATAATTTGTTATTTTAGATTAATTTTGATAATTTACTAATGATTTTGTCTGATTCGTGAACATAATTACGCTTATGATGTACATTAAATTACTTCAATGCAAATATATTTAAATACTACTTATATCATCCAGTTCATATTATTCAATAAGTTCTCTCTGTATTATAATTCAAATGAATTCATCTATTTAAGAACACTTTAATAATTCACATTCCGACCATACGTCTATTCTGTGCTTAAAAATTCGAATGCTAATATTAAAAGTATCATCTAGTGTCAATAGTCAATATTATAGTTAATAACTAATAAATAATAATACTATACTAAAATAGTGTCAATATTACTTTGTTTATTTAATTATTTGATTCTTCTTGTCTATAGTATTATTCGCGTTATGATTACCTGACGTACAAAATATAAAAACAGAATACATTAATTTGTTTTGAAACTTTCAATAATTCTACTAGATACTAGTTGTATAATGTCTACTACCTATATCATTTCTTTTGTATTTCCTCAGAATATACGAATTACACACGAGAATTCGAAGAGAGAGACGATAAAACATGTGAAATGTAGAAAGAGATAATGTTTCTTTTTAGAACTGTAAGACTAAGCCGAAACGATCCACTGCGTCGAGAGTATTAAAATTTCATAGTATTATACAAAGCTATTTTAGTTAAAATATACCAATCTTTTGCCCATCATACTGATCGCGACTTAGTCATGCGATAAAACTTTTTAAAACTGATTTGAATTCGTTATAATGTCGACTTGAGATTGGTGAGTCCACTTTTCCCAATTTCACCCCCCCCCCCCCCATCACTCCACCAACAACTAGAAATTTTATTTGAATATTTTAAAATGTCGGAATTTTTAAACGTTGATTATTAGGAATTTAAATCGGAAATCTGACCGAGCTAACATAACTGTCCGCCACCGATCCGTTTAAGATTACACTAAACTCAAGATTATCCACCGATGACCGATTGTGGTGGCACGACAACCACGAATAAGCGAATTCTGCGATTAATCCTCAAAATACAAATTGAAACAAAAATGTAATTAAATGTATTATCAAACAATTATATTATGTAATATTAAGTGGTACACAATACGCATATTAACATAATAACATTCGTATTAATATTTTAACCTACATACAGGTAATATATGTAACATTTACATTTATTTTTTCACAAAGACATATTATATTGTACATAAATATTATTTTTATTACTGTACATAGTTCCACGGATAGCACAAAGCGTATCATACGTTAATACAACATTTGCTGTATAATATATACACGTTTCCCCTTTTCTATCAAGTGTTGCTGATCGCAGACACGCGACTTGGCGACTTATCATGGATTTCTAAACGAGCTCTAAACTGGCAAAATCGACTCTTCAACACTCCTAGCTCTAATTGTTCAACGAACATTCCTCCTTTACCCACTCACATATGCCCCGTATTTTCCGCACCACAATTTCTCCGGCAATAACTTTACTTTATTGACAATCCCAATCGTCTGGCTTAAGCGCACTGCGAACCATGACCTTACTTCATTCTCACTTGTATGTATCTGTTCATTTGTATAATACAATATTGTATTGTATATATCAACCTGTTAAATTTATATTTGTCCTCATTGTTTTTTAGGCTTGTCCCGTATGACCGTCTTTATGAATAAATACAAATGCCGTTTAATATACATTATTTATTAGTCTGTATATGATACAAATCTAAACTAAATTGTCTGTTGAATTCATTCGATATATTATTAGGTACCTATGTCAACATAATGTCTAATGTACGTGTATACTGTATATACTAATACATTATTATGTTTAAATATAATATGATATTATTATTGTTTAATATTTTTGAACTACATATAATACATATTCATGATTGTATTGCGTGTTGCCAATTTCATCGTATAAACATTAGTTATAGGTGTAGGTACCTATAAAGTATAAGTTAGTATAACAAAGTTTCTAAGTTTCTAATCTTTTAAATAATAAATGCCAAACTTTAGAGGTAACGAGCGTGATACTTATTTTATTTCGTTTCATTTATATCAAAGTGGTGAATGACTTAATGCGCCGATATATCTATATATTTGAGTGCAAATCAAATTTATCTGTAGAATGTGCTAATATGTAATTATATATAATATGTGCAATAAGTACATAATATACATTAATACGTAGGTATCTATTGTATTAGTAGTGCGAAAACTGAATTGTTATGATTTATTAGAGTTGTTTACACCATGGTTCAATAGTTATTTTGCTATTTAATTTCAATAAAAGCAAAGCTGTTGTCGGTGTTGTAGGTATTACCTACTATTTTAACTTGCTGTAGTAATTATAAGGTGTTCCCTGGGTGTGTTATTTGGAGAGCCGCCCTATGGTAAGACGAAAAAGCCCTATGATTGAATTAGCTTCATACTGTTTGTCATAATATTATATAATATTCACAAACTAATTATCAACTGTATTTTTCTAGATATTTGCTAAGAATTAAGATATGTTTTAACCTTATTATGATTATTCGATATTTACAAAATTACAAAATTGTATTATTTGTTGTTTAAATATGATTTTGGTTATCACATTGACGATAGTCCCTATTTATTAAAAGAACGTCATAAGTCATTACTATTATTAAATATGACTGTTAAAACGATAATTTTAAAATGTGCCATTTCAAAAATGTATACAAGTTTAAAATCCTTATAGCTTGTTTTCAAATTTTGTCGAAGAACAAAATGATGACTTGCCGGCGGTATCTTAAATCTGTGTGACTATATGTCGCCAAGGGTAGTAGTCGTTGGCTTCGATTAAGATTGGTCACAAATTTAGTCACGGCTCACGAAATCAGTGAAAACAAAATAAATAAAATAAAACATATTAAGAAGCCATCATCGGCAGGTATAGCTAGATTTTAACAAATATTGAAATTAAACGGAGTATACACCTTAACTAATCAATGATGGCAATACTAGTTTTTTAAGCGAAATAAAATTTATTTAACTAATTTTAGCTATCAGGGGCCTTTTTCTCCACTTATTACTGTGGCATGTGTTCACAATATAAGCCCACTTTTGCGGGTGATAAATGTGTGATTTCTCTTGTCAGAGTCTAAACTTCATCGTATTATGATTTATGTCAGTCTGTTCTAATTAATTGGACTTACAGCCCATAACTCTAGATTTCGGCTTATTTAAAACGCGTGTTTCAGTTTGTTATTTGTGTAAATTGAAGTTTGACACGCATAAAATATAGGACTTGTATACACTGTTGTTGTACGGGTTTATCGTATATTCGTTAATTATATAATAACAAAGTGCAAGCCGCAACTACCATAGATGCCTGATGAGTTTCACTTTTTCACACCAATGAAAATCATTTTAAAATACTCTCTTGAAAATCCGTACAAATAATTTAAAACATGTATGAATTGAATATTTAACTGTGGAATTTTAGAAAAAATGTGTATTTCAAAAATAAATGGTTTCCAACAATTACTGTAACGAGTTAATCATGTTTTTATTTTATCAATATTATGAAAATACGTGTGTGCGAGCCTCTTTAATAAAGAACCAAGTCAAAACGTGAAAAATTTATTTTTATACAAATTCATTACAGAAAAACTGCCTATCCCGCCCGTTTAAGTTGTAGTCTAGGTCAAGACACATTAGACACGCAGTCGCTAGTGTGTTCGATAAGCAGTATTAGCTTATAAAATAAAAAATACACTTTGCAGATTACCAGTGTCGTATATTTATTATTCACGATGAAAGGATTGAACGAGAAACGAATGGAGTCACAAACCTGAAAGAGTGGGTGGATGTAGGAAAAATTTTGGTGGGAGGGTTGAAGGGTGGGGATTTTTGAAAAAATAAGAATTGCTACTTTTTATTAACTATTATACAATTATGAAACGAAATCCGTCGCTCTTTGTATTTTACTCTGATATTATTAAAATTTACTTATACTGCAATTAACATAAATATTTCTATATTATCATATCCTTATAATGTGAAAATTAAAATCTTTGTCACGTATTTTCTCTGAAACTATACTCGTCTAATTATTTTGATTTATTTTTTTAAATAGAGTTTATCGCGGAGCAGGTTTTGAAGATTTAACTTTTTTTCAACCCCTATAGGTAACTAAAATGTAGCTCACGGATGCATTTTTGCAGCTCACGAAAAACCAATATACTTATTGTTTATTACTATATTATAAATAGTTGCCATTGGTTACATATACCTAATATAACCTACTGTAACTATAACTATAAAATAGTAGATATATATTACAAATAAATTTGAAACAAAAACAAATCTTTTGCACGGACAACGTTAGTATATAACAGCTAGTATATTTTAATCTGTATATATATTTAGGTAAATATTTTAACCGACAAATTTAAATGGCATTTTAATACAAACTATCGATCTTTTAAATTATATGTATTTAATACATCATCATTCTTTAGTAAATTGACAAATTGTATGTATAGTTGAATCAGTTTATATTGAAGAGTGATTAAATATTTAAATATTTAGTGATCAAAACCCGGAGAGATTCCAAAACCCATTTTGATTCTTTTGAAGGTGTTTACCTACGTATGTAACAGGGCAACAGACAATTGTAAACTCCGCCAGTGTTAAATACCTACACCCACATTAAATACCTACGTAGACATCTGTTGTAATGATATCACGATTTAAGATTGCTAAAATTTTTATTAGTTTAATTTATAGACCATATACTGCATACTGCATAATATAAGGTCTATGTTTAATCGTTCATTTAGCAACATTTAAAAATAATTTTATCTTCGTATTATATTAAAATGGAATTCCCTATGATGATATTATAAAATGTAAAAAGAATATAATCGAACAAAAAACATTATTTATTACAAAATTCTACAAAACATGTAATTAATTAAATTCAATAAACATTACTAAACTTAGAAGTTATATCTAAAACAAGTGTTGATACATTTTGATAATCTTCCTTAATGACCACGTCATTCAACACTTTGTTGACTCTAAAATAATTAACAAGTATACAAAAAATAATTTTAATTACGTACGTTTACCCAGCCCCCCACATATCATTTTTTTATAACAATTTTTTTAAATTGAATTTGTCTAATAGTATTCTTGCATGATTTCTTATTTATCACCATCTAAGGATACGAGGATCATAGGCACAACAAATGATATCGTATCGTGTCGGACCCCATTAGGGTTAAATTTAAATAAATTATTCATTTTTTGTAAGTATAGAAATTATGCATACTTGACATCATACAATTTTACATTTGGTATATTAATACATAAATATTTTTTTTTCTTATTCACAAATCAAAGAGGATATTATATGCCAATTCTGCCATTATGTATACATATTTTTAATTTCTGTTGGCAATTCACTAAACTTAAAAAACATTTTTTCTATCTTGACAAATTTATGCCTTAGGAGTTAGGGCACAATATGAATATGTGATAAAAGATTTTTTTACACGAAGAACGTGAAGGAAGAAGCTACACAGTAATAGCACTATACCTACACCTTTGAATAAATTATATGATAATAGTCAAAATCGTTATTTTTCACTAAAATACCCAATTTTGACAAAATTAGAAATTACATTTTTCAATAATATTATAAATGAAAAATGCACTTTTAAAAAAAAAATTGGTTATTAGGACATAGTATATAGTATATTTGCACTTGAAACACATTTTGTAGTTTGGAAATCATATATAGCCATATATACGTATAATAGATATAATAGTGCACAGTGCAGGTGACCTTACACAATCATTAACTATAATCGAAATGAATTTACCGATTATTTATTTGACTAACCGTGGTCATAGGTGGTCATTTATTGTGTTTGTACTGGGGCTAGAATAATGCAATAATTCTTCAAATAGTTTTAATTTTTTAATTTTTTTTTTCTTGGGCGGGGAGGTTATTGAAATTTCCAAGGTGTGGGAAATTTTCCCACCCTCTGATATCCACTTTTAACTTTCGCTGATGTTTAGTTATGCACAATTCCGATTCTATTTTTATACAAAATACTAGCTCCCTGAGCTAGCTTTTGAAGACAGCCAGGACCAATAATTTAACTATTGGCGAATACTAAATTGTAATTGTTCCAATTTTTAAGAAACATAATATGAATTTCAATATTTTTGTTCTACTCGTTGAAACATTTAATACTGATTTTTTACTCCAGCCTGGGGGAGGGGGTGGACCTGCTACTTATAACTGTTAATTACTTAAATATGATGGTGCATCGGATTATAACAGGAACGCAGATACTGTTTGGGGCCCGCGATGCTGGACAGGACGATGAGCGCTAACAAACTTTGCGGTAACGTGGCTCAGACGCATTTTACGATTCAGACAGCGGTCGCCTACCTGGCGTCATTGTTGTTCAAACGAAAACAATCACTGATCGTTTATGGAGCTGCCGAAAGGTGCGAAAAAAGCAAATTTTACATAGTGACGGGTGCAGTAATGCAGTTTATAATATATTATATACAGGGTACAGATGACGCGAAGCAATTTCAACGCAAGACTTTGGATTTGATCCGGTTATTTTTTACTGCATAAAGGACTCATTGTTGTTTTGAATTTTTTCTGAATTTTAAAAACTTTAAATTTATAATTTTTTTTCCAAGGATGGGTTGCAAAACAATATTTTGATGTGAAACGATGTTAATGCGGTGGAGAGTTCGGTTGTTGGCGTGGTGACGCGTTTAATGCGCCTTTAAAATAAAGAATAATTTTTCATAAAAATCTGAATATTTTGTTTTTGATTATGTCATGTTTATTTTCTTAAATAAACCGTCTCTTTATTCTGCATGCATACATTTTCTATAAAAATAATTTCACTATTTCACATGTACCAGGCGTCCCTTGACGGCTCACTTTTTTTTAAATTGCAATCAAACAATTTGAATTACCTACATTGTTTTTTTAAGCAACTTTGATTCACATACATTTTTTTATCATAAAAATTAGCTGATTTATACTGAGTTAAGGTTTCAACAAATCATATGCAACTGCATGGAAATTTGAAAAATTTAGGATGTTGAGATGAATAAGTGCATAAATTACAACTTTATAGATCACTCTCAGTCAGTCGATTTTTAAGATAGAAAAATCTTTGTAAGTTATTAGTTGATTAAAAAAACTATTTTGTTGGAAAAATGGAAAAATGGTCGACAATTTTAAATTTTTTTCAACTTATGTAACAGTAAGGCGTATTTTATGCAGTAAAACAATCAGGATAAATTTCAAAATCATGCGTTTGTAATATTTCGTGTTACTTATATAGTTGAACACATTGTACATAGGTATGCTAGCCGCTTGGTAAACACTGTACAAGCGTGAGAAAACTTTGATTTCAAGTGTAGCACAAGGAGATCATCCATCCAGTTTTTATATAAAAGCCCATACCGACTTGAAACATTATTCTAGGTCTCGAAAACAAATCTATGGCTTTTCAACGATATAAATTATGAAACAATCAATTTTAGATAGAATTTTGTACGATATTAAACAATAAATACAAATTAAAATACCTATCCAACTTTATTAGTAAAAGTAAAAACAAATACATTTCAATGACATAGGTATAACTTTTGATACTATACTAATGAACATTGTACCTACGATAATATATCATTTTCTGTTGTGTGTAGACAGTATATTGATTTGTTTTAAATTTTCGACAAATATAACCATCGACATTATATATATGTCACTAATATAAATAATAATTGCAGTTATGTGTTGACTTGTGTATATTTTCTTTTTTAAGGAAAAATGACTATTACAACTATTTCGTGAACTTGGGAGTACAGAACTGCAAATTGCTCACCGAAGATTTCCTCCAGTCGAGCTCCAACAATCAGTTGTCGCTGGATATCGTGTCCGTACTGGCTACACCTCCAAACACCAATACCGGGGTAAGATCGTCATTGGTCAATTAAATTTTACCAGATTGTTTGGTGAGTGCTGGCAGTAGGGCTTAAAGTGGCACAAAATTAAAAAGGGTCTTTCTATGTCATTAGTATTATATTTTGAGCATTCAATGCAGTTGTCCTGTACAACAAATCATTAGGTGAAAAATAAAGAATTAATTAATTTGTAGAACCAAACAATGTTTCTCTTGAAACCTAAATTGCTTTCTTTAATATCAACAAATAACAATAGGAATAATATTATAGAAACATCTATTATAATATTTTCCTTAGAACTATTGCATATAGTATAGTCTTATGTCTGAACATAAAATATTATTTTATGGGTATATATACAGTTCTTTTTATGGATATTATTTCAAGTTAGTGAAAATTAGAACGATATTTTATATTCAAACAAAGAAGGAACATTTTAATTATTTTGTTGTAATTTAAAAAAGTTATTCGTGGGTACCTTCTTGAAACTTTTGAAGTATATTATTATTTTTTATACACACAATGACGTTTTCAAACACAATTTTATCTGAAAAATTAATTCAACCTATTAAATTTAATTCAAATTTATAGAATATGTGCATAAAAAACTATTTTATAATTGACTATATATATATATGTTTCGGTCAAGGTGTACAGGTGTTGTACTATACAATGCCCGGATAATGTGTGCAATGCTCAATTTCAATGGACAACGAGAAGCATTATATACTTTGGCCGGGCATTGTTTAGAATGACCAAAACCAGGTTGGCAATTAAAATCGAAAGTATATAAATATGAATTTTGATAAAAGTGATTGATAGTGAAAGAAATTGTTTTTTTTTATCAATTAAAAAGATTTAAAACAGTTATTGTTTATAATTTATAATAATTTATTTACTATCAATTTTTCTTGTATTTTTGCAACTTAGGCTATCATGAAATTTAGAAATACTTAGTTTTCCTGCAGCCCAGCATTTACATTTATTTGTCTTACATTGCTGTTTACAGTTAACCTATCATATCCTTGACCGCCAAAATTTTCTATCCGCTTCCCTTAATGATATTGGAGATGTTACTGGTACTGTTCAATTTGGACAAACTACTCTTTGTATATTTCAAATTGGTTTCTAGTGTAAAGTTGTTGAAATTTACCTTCAGTAGTGCCAATTTCATAATAATATTGTTTTTCACTAAAAAAAATCAAATTTTCCTATCTAATTATAATAATTACCAGACATAATGACTCCTAAAATAGCTGGCAGATCACTCCGTGCTTTATCAACATCAGGTATCCTGATTTTAACACTCTCGCCAATTTTTCCTCCACGAAATCGATTTTCCTAGTTAGTCTTCATTTTTGAAGCTTGACCTTTCAAATTATGCAACGATTCTCTTTTTTTAAACTATCGTTTCTCTATTATAATTTATAGGTACCTTACACAGACTTGGAGTCACGATAAACTTACTTTGCCGACAAGCAATTAATCACTGTTCACGATGTACGGTTAATTTAATCAAATTAAAAGCAGATTCAGCTTTGCCAAAATATGAGGAGCACTGTGCACAATTCCCAGGCACTGTATGCCTGTATTACAATGCCCAAATGTGTATACACTTTGACCGTAACATATATGTATAATAGGGCAGTAGGTTGGCAGATATGTACCTAATATAGGAAAAACGACGAGACACTCGTGACTTGCAATTTATAATACTATGTAAAATGTACAATATTGTGACTTGGTAGTTACCAGTTACTATGAACAATTATATACGTATCTAGGTCACGGATCCCGTTCAGTTGGTATGTTCGAAAGGTGGAGATCTTACATTACTGAGGGCCGTTGCGTCGTTGGACTACACCGAAGAGTCGTCAGACATACCTTGCATGTTGGACCAGAGAGACACTCTGCGGATGGCCATGTCCAAACCTCAGGTGTGTATTTCGATTAGGTATAATACATAATTGTTTTAATTTTAACCCATTACATGAGTTTTCTATATTTTGGGCAAAAGTTATTTTACAAGTTATTATATATTTTAGTGACTCACGAAAAAAAGGGAGAGTCTAAGTACAGACTATACTATATTGTTCGTACTCGTGGGTAAAGTAGGCTTATATTTATTTAAAAGGTTACTTAGAAAATGTAATTGAATAGCACTTGTCTTAAAGATGAGCAATCCAGGGAAAAAACGAATTTAGTTCGTATTACAGATTGTGCAGAAACGTATATATTTATAATAATAACAGTAATAAAATGTACACTCTTATAATATAATATGTACATTACATTCTACTTGCACCGATTATACACCAAGTACATGTTATATCTATCAAAATATGGTATATGTTATAGGTGCAAATTGTAGTATACGAAACGCATTCCCGGTTGGAGTTGGAAAATGGTGGCATGGTCAAGGCGGTGGTCGAAGAGATGAACGGATGGGCGTACGAGAAGCACAACATGGACAATTATTCATCGGTGAGCGCCGACGACAGCAACAAATTCAGCACTTCTGTTGAGACACCCTGGCGGCCGGCGGTTTTCCATCCGGTTCAGGTTTGTGTGATTTATAAGATAATATTATGATTTATGGTCGAATATAATACGTATTTACAGTATATTCAGTGGCACGACTATACAAAAAGGTGTGTAAGTTGTGAAAAGATTAAGAGTTTACCTTTAATAAAGAACAGTTTTTTTTTGTAGGGTAGTAAAAATTGTTAGTATTCCTACCCAATCCTAATTTTTTGTTTGTTCATTTGAAATGCCTGAGAATGAATAGGTAACCTATACGGACATAACAGTTTTTGACCAAAATCGTACCCTTTGTTTCAGCCAAACCAAAAAGTTTAGTATTTCAAATAAGTTGTGTTCAATGTACATATAGAAAAATATTAATAATAAAAGTTGCATAAAAATTACTCATTTATTAGATGTTTATTTCGTACTTATTTTTGTCTTGGTACATATACCAGCTATAGGGTAGATATCCAGTTGCCGTCACAATCAAACTCGATGATGACCACCGGTCGAATAAATTAATGTGAACAATTATATAAGTACCCGTCTATTCTTATTTGTATGTTACATAATTTTAATAAAACGTATATTTTTAATAGTCTTCTATACATATACATATAACATAAAGTAAATATTAAGACTTTTGGTTTGGCTGAAAATGGAAGGGTGGATCCGCCGAAATTATCTTTTTACCTGTAAGGAATTTATTATCTATTGCTCCGGTTATCGACTCCACCGAACTTTTATTATATGTTTCAATCTAATATTTAAAATTAACCCAACACGTTTTATTTTTGTGTAGTATCTTGGTTATTTCAATGCATACAGATTTTATTTTATATATTTATAACTAAAGCGTATTTATAATACTAAGTATGTAGATATTTGTGTTAGAAGTTAAATAACAAGTTGAAAAAAATTGCAGCATGAAAGGCAATAATAAAGCAAGTAATGAAGAGGGTAATCAGACAATTGGTCCCCTTGAAAAAAACGCAGTATGCGGACAATTGGTCCCCTTCATAACTTTATGCATGGACATATTTATCTCTAGAAATTTTTTTTTTCATTTTATTAAAGATTTTTGTGCAGGAGTTAAATACATTTAACAAATATAGATTAATATATAATCTTTTAGTGTCATTAATAAAGACGGTATGTAGGTACCTTCATTTGAGGCTCGTTTTTGAAATAGAATACGAATTTTGAGATAACTACGAAGTATATGAGCGGGTTCTCAATCATCGAATTGGTTCCTGTGTTCTTCACGGGTAGCATACGAATTAGTTTCGATGAGCTTTCATAATATTATAGGTACAATTAAGTTAAACTAACTTTTAAAATTACTATGATATATTCAGCCAACAATTTCTTTCCCATATTTTAAACAGACTTAGGACAGTCTAGAACAGGGATTCTCAAAATGTGGTAAGCGTACTCTTTGGGGATACTCGAAATGTTTTAAGGAGTACGAGTCTGGCCAACAAACCAACAAGGAAAAAATCCTTCAAGTCTTTAATTTTTTTTATATATATTTTAGTTTAGTAACTAAGAGGGGGTACTAAAAAAAATGTATTGACAAAAAGGGGTACAGTGTTTATAAGAGTTTCAGAATCTCTGGTCTAGAATACCCAAGTACTTATGTGTACCTACTGTTGCTATACTATAGTCCGTTTATGTGTACATTAAAATATAGGTTCCTATACGTATTTGTCAATGCTAATAATAGAACAATAATATAAATTATATAGTATCATAATAATTATAATAAGTTCAACATTTGGCAGACATTCAATTCAAATAAATTAAATAACTTAAATATTTTCACCTCTTCGGCAATCTATTAGATATAATATTATATTTATAAGCTTTGCCAGACATTATAAAACCTAATAAAATATCATAAGAATACCGACTTGCACATAATAATATAATAATATTATGATAATCAATTCGAATAGTTGTATAATGAGAAATCATTTTTACCGGGAATCAATTCCATATTGCCCGAATTTTGATCGGTTATAAAGATAAATGAATAATTTTTCCAAGCCAAGGACTACGAAAGTACGCTTTCCCCGCAACGTCTATATACCTACTAGTCGTTCGACACCGTTCAATTGTTTGACGTTGCAGGGAAAACGTATACCTACCTCGAGGACTTTATTTATAGGTGCCTGCATACGAATCACGGAAAAAAAGCCCAGAAAAAATATTAAGTATGAATGTGAACACATGTATACTCTACTCCTAATTAGTAATTACCGTGTGCCGTATACCTATAACAAGATATAATATATTCTGTTGAAAATAATGTCATAAATTTTCATCACGTGTAACTTTTGTATAAATGTAGTACCTATGTATATTATAAAAAGACTGGTGTTTTTTGACTATGATTCTTGACTAAATATAATATACTGCCACCTGTGTTGTATACTTGTATTGACATATTATATTATTATTTTTATAGTTGTGTAATTTTTGTATAAATGTAGTGTATATACTATATATTATATAATATACCTACCTAAGATGTTATACTAGTACCCCTTATGTTTTTTTACTTATAACACTGTATATCATGTATAGATGAGGTTATATTTATATTTCAATTTTATATATAACAAGTGGTGTTTTATGTAAAATTAATACTTAAAAGTTAAGCTTATAGCCATAGTCAGGTATAAGATTATTTATATTTGACATTTTTCATTGAATAAATAGGTAAAAAAAAAATTCTCATCAGTTGAGTATCCGCATATAAAATTGCCTATATTGGCTATATTAATTTATGAATTAATATTTACTAATTAGGAGTAGAGTATAGGTACATATATTGTGTTTGCATTAAAAAAAATTTTTTTGGGGGAGGCTTTTTTGCTTGGTTCGTTTATATTTTTGTGCTTTTTTTCTTTGGTTTTTTTTTCGCTTACCCTAAAATACATATTACTAGACTCTGTCCATCTATTCCAAGCATCCGGACGAGACACCCTGCAATTGAGACCGGTTCCATTATGATATGATGCTACTTGTTGACCTAACCACTCATAAGAATAGGTTTAGCGTAATAAAACAAATTCTTAAAAAGTAGGTACTTTAATAAAGTGATTAATAGGTACATTAAAAACAGAACCAAATTAAAATACTTTTAAATAATCATTAAAAAGAATAAAAATTTTTAATGTTCATCCAAAAACACTGGGATGTTAGTTATCTTTTTAAGGTGTGAATACTAAAAATATCACTTATCTGTTCGGTAGTGAAATCTAGGAAAAAAAACTTCATGATCGATGTACAATAACTAGGTACCTATAGGTTTTAGAAACATAAATGCTTTTGTTAAAAATCACTTGCGCGTGTGTTCATAATTCACATTAAGATTCCCGACAAGGATCGGTTCGAAACAATGATACTGTATCCAGATAAGTCAATTGAGAATATGGAGAAGAATCATGTTACTGGAAGTCTTTATTTGGCGGCCGTCAAAAGGGTGGTGAGTAGTATATTATATCGTACCTAAGTAAATTATTAATTTAGGAATCGGAAGTTATAGGAGTTGCATACTTATATATCATGCTCTTGATTTCTAACAGACAACCTGGAAATCCAAGCTATACAATTTTATTGTAAGTTTAAAAATCAAAAATTTAAAATGCATTTTTTGCATATTGCTTGATTTTCATACTCGTATTATTCAATGTGCATTATAGGAACTTAATATTTTCTAAAAAAATTAATCTTTTTCCTTCGTAAGCTGTGTTTTATAACCTCCGACCCCAAGAGTAATTAACAACCATTCAAGTATGCAAATAATTGTCTTTGTTCAACATTTTAGTTGTTAGTTATAAATAAGAAAATAATATACCCAGTCAAAATATATATACCTAGCTATTAACTATTAGGTAAGTCTTACTGTGAGTATTTTCATGAGTTAAATTTAAATCATCTTTAAAGTATGATTCCACAGTATATCATCTTTTGAATAATTACTAATTATTACAGTTCTAAATTGACATAAATCACATTAATTATTTTTTAGTTTATATTGTAACTAAAAATAAGAACAATTTAAAAGGTAAATTGTATGTTACTTATAACTACAAGCTGTCATTTTTAAAATTGAATCATAATTAATTTGCATGCATTTTAGCATTTCACAAATTAAAATTGTTCTGAGAGTTTTTACATTTATAGGATGTGGCAGAAGTGTATTTCTAACAGCAGGGCAGGCATTTATGAGGACAATTGGACAAATACTTACTGTACATTACTGTATTGTTTGTTTTCAAGGAACTGATGACATTTGACGCCAACCATTTGATACGAATGGCTGAGCAAAGAGGACTGTTTGGAAAGCCTGTGAAGGGACGCAAACAAAAGATCCCAAGTCCCATAATAGTATTGTCTCTGACCAATAGTGATGAACCCAGGTAACACCAATGGTTGATGAATAATAAAAAATAACCAATGAACACACGTTGATTATCAAAATTGTTTAAACGTGTATAAACATATTGTTTTTTTAGAGTGATGTTGAAATTTGAGCAAATGCACGTTTTGGTACCAACACACGCATTTCTACAACGTTGTGCCAACAAAACCCTACAATGTCCCCGTTTTAGTAAACCTTATGATAAGACTTCTATAGCTACTCGCTGGTGGAGAATAAGTATTCGCCATATAATCAAAGCATTGAGGAAACCTTTTTTTGCATGGACCAAAGTACAAATGGTTAGATTTGGAAAACGTACAAATAGAACACCATTGAGATTGAAAAAAGTCACTACATCTTTCAAACCGCAAAAAACAAAACGGATTTATTCGTGTTCATATATATGTTTGTGACGTATAGTATAATTAATATAATACATCAATAATATGTAATATTATATATTAAAAACATAAATATAAATATTTTATTAACTAATTTGCTTTTGTAAACAGCAACTTAAGAAGGTTGTGTCTGTGCGCCATCTTCATCACTTTAGTCTTAAAATATATTATATAATTTTCTTAAACTTTTGTGTAGTTGCCATTGTTTTAATTTTATTCAAATGTATTTGTTGTCCAGTTGTACTTTTGAGAATTTTGATATTATTGTCTTGTATGTGACGGATCGAAACAGTTTTTGGTACAACCCTAGTATTTATTCCTCCTTCAATTCTTCTGATTTTATTACCTGATATAGGTAATCTGTTCACAAATTGGATGTTTCCTGAATTTTGACTGGGAACAGAGAATGTTTGGTAACCACTGGGTACTAGGCCTTTTGGCGCTTTGTTTACTACTAGCTTGACTTTGGAAGGTGAGTCATATGCAACCTGTAAAATTAAAAATATTACGATTTATAAAATTGATAATTGTGAAATTGTATATTATGTATATTTTTAAGAGCATATTACATAGCTATTTAGAACATTTAAACTCAAGTCTTGTGATGTTATTACTAATTATTATGCATACCTGTTTAATTTTTAGACGTTCAGGAGCCGTCGTAGTCTTAGAAATAGTAGGACATAAGACATCAAAATCTTCGTCTTCATCAAGAGGTTCTTCTTTGACAACCATTTTCCGTTCATTAAATTCATTTAAATTTGCAATGAAATAGGAACTGTTATCAACACTATTCTTTACTTCAACCACTTCTTCTTGTGGTTCATCTGCAAAGACTATTGGCATATCCAATATTTGATCAGGTGTTATTTCTTCCATAACAGGAGCAGCAGTTTGGTTATTTAGAGACTGGAAATTTGAACTGCATACTACAATATTCTTTTGGTCTGGTGTGAATATTACAGGTGAACCATTCATAGATGTTAAAGATGAAGCTATTGAGTTTTAGAGAAAATTAGATCATTAGTGGATGAGAATATAATACACATACATTTAAACATTAATATGTATTAGTTGGAACATACTTGTTTGAGAAACATTGAAATTGAAGTTGTCTTGTTCTTGTAACAATTCTGCTAGAGTAGAAAATTTTTGATTTCCTAATTTTGGTATAAACATTTCTTCTGGTTCTAAAAAATAAATTTAAATAATATAAAGAAGTAGGGAACATTAAACTCTTAATTTTTGATATTATGGTCACTAATTTCTTGAAACGAATATCTGTCTAACTATTATTCCTCATTGCAATAGTAGTACACAGTAAATTAATATGGGTATGAGGGGAAGGGGGTAAACCCATTATATTTCGTTGTTTACAGACTCGGTAAGTCCCAGACTGGAATAACAACACTCTTACAATTGAAATATGTTAACCACATGAAAAGTTAAAAAATTTAAACTTGTGGTGAATATAATATTTTTTAAATAACTTACGAATACTGTTTATGGTAGAGTCAGGATTTTCACACTGAAGATAATATTCTTGGTTAATAGAACACGAAGGAGGAGGCATAAGTTCTTCATCTTTTACCATAACTTTCGACGCCGAAGAAGAACTTGGTGTTTTGATAATCTTGCGATTTACAGTTTGTCGCTTTGGAGTTTGTTTATTTGCAGAAACCAAAAGTTTTTGGTTACCTTTGTTGAGGCGTGCTAAAGGTTTATCTATAGAAACAAAAATGTCTAAGTTAAATTTAAAGACAACATACAAGATAGTACCCAGAGTGCGATGTAAAACACAGTATGTTTAATAGTATTAACAAAAGTTATATCTTACTATTAGGTTTCTTTTTGGAGAACACAGGTTTTTTAAAATCTGTATTTTCAACATCAGGTTTACGAATTATTTTTGGGGAGGGTTCCAAAATGTCTTTTAAGAAATTTCCAATTTCTTCCTGTAAACAAATTTTAACTATAAACATTTGTCATAAGTTCATTAATAAGAATACACCATATCTGCATGTGTCTTCTGTCTTAAAAACATACAACATACCAAATTTGTGTTCAGTAGAACCTATGCAGAGCTGTTAACTTCAATATAAGAGTGAAATGACCTATGATCTGCTGAACTAAAATTTGATATGTTTTACATTTGTTAGATGGAAACAACATGTGTGAGTATTAGTCCCCCTTAATAGTGATAAATTTAAATATACCAAAACACATCTGTCAACAAGTTTTTGAGTGACTGCCTCTCTCATCTTAGTAGTATGGTTCATGACCAACTCATCATTTGCTCCACCTACTAGTATGTGATTGGTCTTACATTTCAGCTTTACTCTTAATTCTTCCATATCCAAAACACTGCAATTTTAGAAACTAGTTATTAAGAATAATTTATTTTTAATTTACTGATAGAAAAAAGTAACAACGTACGGTGAGAATATGCTAAGTTGGCCGGTCACAAAAACTGTAGGACAGTCAAGACCCAAAATACAATCACCTTCATAACCTCTTTTTACCTCTGATGAATTAACAATGAACCCAATACATACTAATCCTTCAACTTTTTCCAAAACAGCTACCTAAAAAACATAAACAAATTTAAGTTATTAATTTTTAAAATAAATGGATACATGCATTATTAAAAATAAATAAATTGAATTTACACTATTTGTACATTCAATTTATTGCACAATGTTTTATTTTAATACAATTTATAATTTATAAATACACATTACTTTGTAGAAGTAACATATCATATAAATAATATTTTGTAACAAGTTATGACTGAATTGTTCCCACAAAAAAAAAACAAAAACAAATATTATGACAATTTTATTTAGTCAATTAGGTTAGTCTACAATTCCAATCATCCATACTAGAAATTAGTTAACTACTCGCCTTTTCTTTAAGATTCTTTAAAATTTTTAGCTCTTACATTATTCAAAATTTTTCCATTATAAGAGGTATGGGGAGGTGCTAAAGGATAACTCATAGAAATATATTGTTATTGGTACTATATTCTGATTAATATTAATTCTTTACTATTATAATTTGTTGTTATGTTGGTAAAAATATGAATTAATAAAATATTTCTACTTGACAAGCTATAGCAGCACTGACTCCAACACCAGCCAAGATAATAGGCCTGCTGGGATCTTCAGATCGTACTGATACAACTTTACTTCTTGTAGCATCTACCATGGCTTCTAAACTAGTTTCTATATCTAATTCTTCTTCACGAGAGTACTCTTCATAATCCCATGGCACTAAAATAGAATGATCACATATTAACTGGATTAAAAAATAGTAAATAGTTATTACATACAAAGCATTCAATTTAATATATAAAAATTATTTAATCATGCAATTTTTGTGATTTAAGAAAGTAATACATTTGTAAATTTATAAATTCTACATTTATTTCAAGATTTTTTTTATGTAATCTATTTTCAAATGTTATTATTATGAAATAAATTTTTTCCAGAACATGATAATTTAAAAAATTTACAAAATATTGAATCTATAGTTTATTATAGGTGTATAAGAAGAATTTGTTAGCATAATATTTTTTATGGGTAGTAATTTTATTTTAATAGAGTACAGACCCAAAAACCAGATTAAAATATATAGTATGTTAAATATTAAATAATACAATAATAATATCAACATAATATTTTTAAATTAAGTATATAATAAACAATAAAGATAAAACATATAAAATATGAACGATACATGAGAGAATAGTAATCAGTTTGGTAGGGAGGTTGAAGGTTGGATTATATATTGTAGTAGGCGTTAGTCTTATGGTAGGTGTATTTAAGAAATTATTTGCAGAACAATATGGTATCAGAAAAGCGTAAGTTGTAAAGTGAGCCTGGCGAGATAAAACCCTAGACCATAATCATTAGAGAAGAAATATAGTGTAATAATGACTCAAGCCCAGTAATATGTTTCATTCTATTGTCTTAATAAAATATCATAAAAATTGAATGTACATGTAGTATTAAATGTAAAGGCTTTATTTACCTTTCGCTGCCAGAGCAACGTCTAATTCTGCTAAATATGATAAGGCATTCATCCAATCATAAGTCCTTGTATTTGGTTGTGTACAATACCCAGGAAAGTCTGGTACTAATATTATAACAGGATTTTTTGGTAATTTTAGCTAAAATATTATTTTGTTACTTTATTTAATTGAATATAAATTATCACATTAAAATTATCCATTTATTATACTTACGGGTGGATAAGTTACCAACATATAGTTAAAAGGATCAACAGGTTCATCTAGATTAATTGATTTTAATTTAATTTCTTCTTTAGAACGTCCTATTGAATTTGCTGATATCATATCATTTACAAATGATGGAGCAATTTGTTTTAATTTCTATTAAAAAAATTATCATACATAGTAAGTAAAACAGAGAAAATATAATTATTTTAATACCTCTAATATATCAATGTAAGATGCAAGATAATCATCAGGTAAATTTGAAATGAATAATCCATGCAACCATTGCGACAATGATATGTCCCAGTGAGTGTAATTAGTTAATAGATGGTGCATTTCAGCCACTGATTTTTCGGTAGAGATAATTTTTTGAACATACTCTTGAACTGTACCTTCATACGTTAATCTCGATAAACGATTTGCGTATAAAATAGATAAAGCTCTTTCGAACAAAGTTCGTTCGAGTTTACTCCACCGTTGTCTATGACAAATAAAAATGTTCATCAACATATTATTAGCAGTAGATTCAATTAAGTTGGTTCATGACGCTATAGGCAGGCAATGTCAAATGTTTTCACAATTTCTAACATTTACTGGATTACAATGTAATTGAAGTATCTTATTCAGTTGCAAACATACTTGTTAATAGTATCTTCCCACATTTCAGGGTCTCTAGGTAATTTTGAGTTTCTATATGATTCTATTGATTTAGTTTCAACATCAGGTCTATATGTTAATAACTTCACATCTTTGTCAACAGTTTCAATGTCAACGTCATCAGTAGAATTTTCACTATAAAGGGAAAAAGAATTGTGTTAAGTTAATTAGATAATTCACAATATGGCAAAATAGTGCATTAAGCTTACTTTTGAACAAATCTGTGTATAAATAATGTTTGAATTGTAGAACACAAATTGTCTTGTTGATATTCGGATGACGAATAACTGTGTTCGGTTAATGTTGTATTTTGTTGATATTTCTACGCATTCACATAGGTACAACAGTCACTCATTTAATTATTCATTCACAAACAAAAAATTTTAAATGGAATAGATAGGTACATACTTTTCTTTGGGATATGTGCTCTAGGTACGACGTGAAATCTGATTTTAGTTCGGAGTCTACGTCGGAATCCATTTTGAACGCTGTTCTGTCAAGAGACTAATAACAAAAACTTATAACTAATAACATTTAACAGCTTAACACCAATGTTATTGTGTTAATAAACAAATGTAAACAATATCTTATCAAAAGTCCAAACAATATAAAATAATAAAAAATCTAAAAATTAAGACTTCAGTTGAAGTAAAAGATAAAATTTCGTTACACCACGACCATGGAATATGGATAAACACAATATGAAGTGATGTTTGCACTTGGAGAAATAAATTTGATGTAATCATTGTTAAAGTGAGATAAATAAAAATGCGAGGATTTCATGGAATAAACGACCTATTTAATTTATTCATTGAATGAACCGCCCAATTTTGAATCATGAATGATATGATTTTATGATACATGTAGTTTAATACTACAAAGGTAGATTGATAACTATTATTATTATTATTAAGATATTTTAATTTTGTAGAAATTAAATTGGAAGTTTTATTCAGTCGTTTAAGTGTTATGACTTACAAATGTGAGTGTCACATTAATATTATTATATTAACCCGTAATTTAGATCCTTCTTTATTAGTCTTTTGAACATTTTCGCCCCCATAAAAGTCTCAAGTGTATTATTATTGTAAGGTCCAGTTGTAGGTCCACACCACGGTCTATGATCTACAGAAGATATCTAACTTCTCTACGTCGCTTGGTCAATACTTGCCGTTATCAGTTTATCATTTTTGGAATAGTGGTTCCATACCAGCTCCACTTCACCCACAGGCCACAGACTAAGATATCTTTGTCCGTGACTTCACCACCGCGGCGGTGCTGTACAACGTTGATTTTTTGTTTGAAAATTTAATTTTTTAGTGGTTTAATTGTTTAATCATAAATATTAAAGGCTCAAACTCTAAAATGTTTTAATTATATTCATGAAAAATAAATTTAAGAATACGTTATTATTTTTTACAATATTCATAACTGATTTTACAGAATGTATATTGCATAATATGAATAAATATTTTTTTTAGATTTATGTATAAAAAAAACTTACAGCTTAACTTAATAATAATAATTTTTTAATTTATTTAACCATTTCTTCAATTTTTAATGCAAAAACTGTTATAATAACAAATTTAGATAATTTAATTGATGGATCATGGACATTTTATTTACTTATCTTATGCATTTAACATTTAACTATAGTATAATATTTTTAATTTTTAACGTTTATTGAATTTAGAATTTAAAAATATTAATTTTACTTGTTCGAGGACTAACATTTTTATTTAAATCATGAAATTTAAGCAAATTCAAATTCTAATAAAACAATTTCCAATATTATACTATAATACACGTAAGTTAATAATAAAGCCTTGTATCTACCTATTTAAAAAAAATTATTAAATAACAAATAAGTACAATTTTTTAGGTACCTATGTATTTGCTAACCATGTGTTACCACCTTAATTAACAATTAACATTGATACATATTTACATTTTAAATATTTTTTAAAGTTTTGATAGTAAAGTAAAGAGTTTGTGTAATTCTTCATGACTTTCAACAGTATAATCTGTGGTATAATGTTAAAGTATTATGTATTCATAGTGAAGTGTACGTATGGCTGATGACGTAGTAATATTATGCTTAAATTTTCTCTATCAATTTCTTCCCTTTTATTTTGTTGCTTTTCAGCCAAGTTCAAAAAAGCCTTCAATATACTTAAATGCAGTAAACTCTTTGTAGTTTGTACATGTATAAATATAAAATATATATGTTAACACAATTTTCAGTAGGCAACAATAATTTTCATTATAATATAGTTATAGGCTATGACGCTATGAGTAGTCTTTAAACATTTAACATTCTACTTACACAAAACATAGATAAATTATTTTTTGAAGATAGTTATGTACTTTATGCTTACCTATATAAGACTAGATATCATTAGTAATAATTATTGTTGTCTTTAAAATGTTGTTAAAAATTACAATTTCTTCAATAACTTTGATAGGTATGAAAAAATGTAACTGATCAATATCTTCTATAACAATTGATTCAATTTTAACTAGACTTCCTGAACACTCATAATTGTGGCATTCATATTACGTTGTTGTGTAGAGTTGTGAATACTCAACTGCATACCACCAATGTATTGAATGTTATTGATGTAAAATAAATTACTGTGTAGTCCCACTGTTTATTAATTGTAAGAAATTATTAACCAAGTGTAAGATCTATATTCAACACAAGTTACTTAGGGTATGTTCTAAGAAAGTACAAAATTATTTATATCATTACAACTTATGATTTTATTGACTAAATATTCCTAATAGACTATTCAGGTATTCTCAATAGTTGTACTACTAAGCATGAACAGGTGACTTCTTGAATTAAAAAAAATAATAATAAAGTAAATAATAGTCGAGCAGTATTAATATCTACTACCTACTTTATTGTTGGTATAAAAAAAACAAAGTTAAAAATATGTAATTACAGTTAACATTTATTTTCCATATAGATATTTATCTTTCCACGAGCCTCTCGCTTTATTTATTGGAAGTGTGCCAGATATTTGTTTTTGTTCTTCTTGCATTTCTAATAATTTTCTTTGGTTTTCTTTAAAAACTTCAAGTGGGTGGTCAAACTGTTTATAATATGAAAGTACTTCTCTTACATCATTCACTTCACTTGCTGAAACTACATTTAGAAACTCGGCCAATTGAATCAATTGTTGATCACCATCTTCACCTGTCCATCTGGGTATTACTAAGGCATTTTCTCTTTGTAATTTTACCGAATCTACATTCCAATCAACCATAATAACTTTAGATAAATCACGGTTAATACGGTCAATATTCTTCACATGATGTCCATCAATATAGTCAGTTGCATTCTTAACAAGTCTATACATAATTACATTATTTTTATCCAAACTGTCTAAAATTGGGTAAACATTAAATCCATTTGAAGCTGTGAATACAACTACTTCATAATTTTGAGATACTTGCTCAAGGAAATGATCAACATTTGGCCTCTTTTTAAATCTCCATCCGGTTGAATATGTCCACTCTGGGTGAACGAGCAGATCTGTCATTTCTATAATCAATGTGTATGGGGGTTGAATGTATGGATATGGTAATGGATCAGGCAATAGTTTTTCGTAAGAAGGTGCTCGCATTGATTCAAAAAACTCTCTGACTGCCAATCTTCCGCGATTAAACACACGTACCGGATACACCTCTTTTTCATCTTCGTTCTTTTTATAGTAATTGTCATCCATTAGAACATAAAGACCAGAGCCAAGAACCATCATTAATGACGCACCTATGAAGAAGAATCCTATTTTTAAGTTTTTTATCGCTTTTTCTTTTTCCTTACGTCTTTCATCTTTATCCTCGCCAAATATATCTAATGGATCGAGCGCACGTGTCGTTCCCGATGTTTCGGCAGGTTTTTTTTCAGTTAGAGAACTGTACAATTTCTTGTTTAACAATGATGCAAATGACGGTTGTACGTACGAGATCAGTTTGAATGTATTCCGCTCGCATTTACAACATGCTGCTGTTTTGCTCAAAATAGTGGTGTTGCACAATCGGAGTCCTCGAAATAAAAACTGTGCCATTTTTATGATGTTCCGTTAAATGTCAATCCTTTGGCATAATATTATCATAGAACAACACTAAATTTTACTTGCATATCACCAAATCTAAAGCTGAATATTGAATTCCAAAGTCACCAAATAACCATGATATAACTAACAATCGACAAGTAACATGTCATACAAATAACTGCTAAATTGATGTACTACACTACTATGACATAAGATACTATGGTAGAATATAGACATTTAACACTACCAATAAATATTAAATCACCATACTAGCAGATAGCCGATAGGTAAGTAAAAAAATAATTTTAGATAAGAAAAATAAAAACATACCGGTGGACATAACCTCAATTGACATCGATAGTATTCGAAATTTCGAAGTATTTGATACACCACTTTTTAATTCCTATCAAAACTATAAAAACAGGCACAGTTTAAAATATTGTACTCTAAAAATTATAACTATTCATCATTATTTAATACTTAAAAAAGTTCAAAGTATTATTACCTAATTAAGGTTTTAAGCAATCGAAAGCTTAAAAATTTCTAAATTTCTAAGCACTAGTAATGACAAAATTGATACTTCTATAATTAATATATTATTAATACATCAATTATTTGACATTTAACATAGGTATCATTTATGATTTATTATAAGTTCATTAATTTTATATAAACACTTTATACTATTGCTTGTACATGTCTTGTCAATCATGAGTTATTGAATATTGATACTAATTGTAATATTTATTATTTAGGTTGCTGTCTTTTCGGCATGGAGTCTTCATCCGAATTTACCATAATAAGTGAAGGAAAAGCAAAAATACGAGTCCCTAGCTCTAGCAAAGTGTTTTATAATCCTGTGCAAGAGTTCAATAGAGATTTAAGGTAAATTTGTACATATTACCTATATTATGCAATACCTAGTGTTAAACATTAATATTTAAAAAATATTATACTCCACTTAAATTTAAATATTGTTGAATTATTCGATCATGAAACCTCTCTAATAGATTTGAAATATCTTGAAAAATGAGTTGATGTTTATTCTTTTCTGAAATTTTTTGTTAGTTTACCTAGCCAAACATGTATTTTCAAATAAAAATAGTTCATTTTTATTATTTAACTTAATACAATGCAGCTATAATAAAGTTTTTAGTTAATTAAGAAGTGTCCTTAATTTCCTTTATTTATTTAATAAACTCTAAACAATGAGGATTTAAAAATATACATTTTGTAAAGATGTTATTTATAGCTTACTCTAATAATAATGATTTGGTACATTTCAGTATTGCTGTTCTTTCGGTATTTTCCGAAATTCATCACAGTGAAAAACTAAAAACCAGAAAAAGACAAAGATCCCCTGATGTGAATAATACAACACAAGAAGTTGAACCTGTGAAACTAGAAATTGGAACACAAGCTGAAGTTGGTTGGATGTATTATGTTTAATTTTTTATGAATGATATTCAATTAATTTACCTAATCAAAACATTTGAATATCTAGAAAATTATTTTATTTTTGTTCTATCAGTCGGGCTTAGAAATATTAGAAGCATTAGCAGCAACTGGTTTACGAGCTATTAGATATGCTCTTGAAGTTCCAGGAGTTAAACAAATATATGCTAATGATATATCAAAAACAGCTGTACAAATAATGAATCAAAATATTGAAGAAAACAATGTTAACAATTTAGTTACATCTACTCTTTATGACGCTGCGTAAGTTTTATTTCACAAACTATTAATGTTCTAATATATTTATATCAAGATAAATAAATAAGTTACTCAATAGAAAATTGGGGATTATAATAATATATTTTATCTACTTGTGGGCTGTGGGTGGATATAAAAATATTATGAATTTGAAAAAACTTCTGAAATTGATTTTTATTCCGTTTTCTACTATAATGTTTTTGTGTCAATTGTTTTTTTAAATATGTGTATTATTGAAAAAATGTTTTTTTGTGTTAATATTTAAGATAATACTACTTAATACTGTATCACATAATAATGCAATATTATATTATGTATATTATTGAAACTTAATAACAGGAATTGAAATCAATCTAAAATATTTTAAAAAAACTTAAAAATATTTGTCCAACCTAAATTAAAATTGAAATAGAAATACAATTACACTATTTAATTAAATTACCTACTACTTGAGTCCATCCAAACAAACCCACCCCCAGCCTACACTGGCCAATTAAAACAGTATATTTTAGGCAACTTAAACATACAAAATTTTCATTTCTATTATAAGAAAATTGTGCCAAATAAATTTTTGATACCACCTGTAGAATGCCTCGCAGTTGGCAGAGTCAACACATGTTTTATGAGGAATCTATACATCTTAATACATAAAATATGATAAATGCATGATGCGTAATATATATATTTTTTTTTGTACAGACATGTTATGAGAAAAAGGCAATTTGAATCTGAAACTAAATTTGATGTTGTTGATTTAGATCCTTATGGATGCCCAACAAATTTATTAGATCCAGCTGTGTGTAGCCTTGCTGACAATGGATTGTTGTTAGTCACTTGCACTGATATGGCTGTCTTAGCTGGTAATACACCAGAATCGTGCTATGCCAAGTATGGTTCAATCTCGTTAAGATCTCCAGCTTGTCATGAAATGGTGTATATCAATATATCTATAGCTATTTAAAATTATTTATTGAGTTTTTATTTATATTTATTTTCAGGCATTAAGAATTGTTTTGCATACAATTACAAATGTGTGTACTCGATATGGTCGTTATATGGAGCCATTATTATCAATTAGTGCTGATTTTTATATAAGGGTATTTGTAGTTGTACGTACTAGTCCTTTTATGTGTAAATCAATGTCAAGGTAAATATAATTCATACAATTGTGTTAAATAACTTAAATACTAATATGTAAATATTACATAGTTACAAATTATTTAACAAATATCAAGAGAAAATTTAAGGATATTGATGTGTTAATAACTCAATTGAAATAACAATTTCTAATTTATAGCAAAATGTCAACAGTGTATAAGTGTAGAGGGTGTAATATGACAACTTTATTGCCATTGGGTTCTGCTAAGTCAGATTCAAAGAATATGAAATTTACTCTTTTGTCTGGTCCACCAGTTGACAAAAAATGTGAACATTGTGGATTTCCTCATTTAGTAAGTGATTTATAGCGATATAATACCATTTACAAAAAAATATTAATACAAATATTCAATTTGATATTTATCTTTCATTTAAGTACTATGTATTGGAATTCAATAATTATTTTGTTTAGGTAGGAGGACCTATATGGACAGGTCCTTTGTATAACACAGAATTTCTTGGGAAATTGTGCAATTATATAAAAACTGAAGACGCTGAAAAAAAATTTAATACTGTTAGGCGAATGAGAGGAATGTTGGGTATGATGCAAGAAGAATTACAGGATATTCCGTTGTACTATACAGTTCCATCACTTACTAATACTGTTCATTGTGAAGCAATGCCATTGAGATACTTTTTGTAAATACAAATAAGTTTATTTTTTTCCAATAATATATAATTAATAAGGTAATTAATATTTTTAGTTCTGCATTAGTGGGTGCTGGATACCGTGTGTCTTCATCCCATTGTGCACAAAATAGTGTTAAAACTGATGCACCTCAATCAGTTGTGTGGGATGTCATCAGAACTTGGGTTCAAACTCATCCAGTATCTGAAAAACGATTACAAGACTCCGTTGCTGCCAGAACAATTTTGTCTAAACAACCTACGACTGAAATAATATTTGATAAAAAATATAATACGGTGCCAAAATCATTGCAAGGATTAGTTCGTTATCAACAAAATCCTGCACCATACTGGGGACCAGGAACTAAAGGAAATTCAAAGTAAGAATTTAAATGTTTATCCTTATTGAATATTTTTATTTTTAAAGCTAAGAAGAATGTATTTTTATTATTTGAGCAATGTAATTGTTAGTTTTACTATTCTTTTTCTAGTTATTATTTATTTATTTATCGAAAGCAAGAATATATTATATATACTAAATACTTACCTATATGTCTGTATTCATATGGATTGTATAATGGATTTATACAAGGTCATCTAAATGTTATGTTAATTGTTAATTACAAATATGGACACTAAACGTAAATTTGTGTTATTATAAAAATTCCACAAAATTGTAATACAGTCTTAACATAGTATTTATTTGATCTTGAACTCATGCATTGGATTGGCCGAGCTGACTAAAATAAGTTGTCATAGAGTTATTATTAGTTGATTAAAGAAACTTTCTTTTTAACCGAGAACTTTGTACTGAATATTGCAAAACAAAAAAAAAATTAGATTATTATTGAATGCAATTCATTTTTATTTCTTAACAGTAGTATGTTATCTTGTTCTTCAACTTGGTTGGTACGTTCCATATTTTTATAGCTCTTATGAGACCGAAACTTAGAAGTAATTACATTTTTTATGTTTTAGTTAATCTTCTGGTAATACAAAATTGGCAGATGCATACACTAAATCATTTTTAAATATTTTTTAATATTTTATTTTATTTTTAATTAGGATCTACCATTGAACACGACCTTTTATTTTTGGAAGTTTTTTTATCATATTTTACTGCCATTGATTATGTCTCCCAACTGGCAATTTGATACAAATTTAGATACATTTCTTTCAATTTTTTTAAGCAACTGAGAGGTCTCAAAAATATGTTCTTTACTTCAGTGGTCAACTTGTCCACTTTAGAAAACGTAGTTCTGATAGTTTCACCAATGCAATGAAATGCATGTGTAAAATGTGTCGGATATATTATCTTTGAATAAAATACATTAATAGCCACTATAAGTTATAACTACTATTAACTCTAGTATAGTTATACAATTAGCATATAGGAAAATGTAAAAATGTAATTTGTAATGACCGTAGAAGACAATGACTCATGTGTAAGAACATGTATTTATGACAAAATATTTAATTATATGTAAAATATAAGTAATCTCAATTTGTAAAAAATTTCTTTTCATTCAAAAACAAATAAGAAACAGATTTTACATTTGTAGAAGTTGGTTAATTATATGTTATAAAAAACTTGTAATTACATAAAAATCTAAGCCCTATTATATATTAATTATTATTTTTCAATGTTAAGACACTGTTAAACTTTTATATGTAATTTTAAATTGTATTTTTTT